ATTCTTTTCGAAAAAGCAGTTAAAACATTGCCTGCTGATTCTAAAACAATTTCTGGTTTTTATAAATATTTAAATTGAAAAAAAAATTTAATTTAAATTAAGGACAAATTGCTTGGCGTCTCTATGATACCTATGGATTTCCAATTGATTTAACTTCATTGATGGCTGAGGAAAAGGGTCTTAGCATCGATTATGTTGATTATGAGGAGTGTCGAAAAAAGGCTATTGTTAGTTTTTTTAAAAAAAATTTTCGGTTTTTTATTATTTTTGTTTTTAGGAAATTTCTTCTTCTGGTGCCACTTTTAAACTTCAAGAAACATTAAATCTTGATGTACATACATTAGAAGCACTTAAACGTGAAGGAGTTCCCCCAACAGATGATTCGCCAAAATATATTTATGATTTTGATGGACAATTAAATTGGAAAGCTGCTTATAGTTTAGAAATTTTTAAATTTAATTTAAAAAAATTAATCTTTAGATTACCAAATGTGCAATGGCAAAATATTGAAAATACGAGTTGGAAGTGAATTTGTTGATAAAATAGAGTCAGGGCAGGAAGGAGCATTATTACTTGACAGGACTTGTTTTTATGCAGAACAAGGTGGTCAAATTTATGATACAGGATTATTTACAAAAATTGGAGGAGACGAGGTTAAAATTTTTTAAAATTAGAAAATGAATTGTTTTTAAAGGATGTTGGCTTTTCTGTTACGAATACACAAATTCGTGCAGGTTATATATTCTTTTTTGGAGTAGCTGATGGTATTCTTTGTGTTGGGGATGAATTAAAACAACAATTTGATGAGGTATTTTAATTAAAATTAGTGAAAATAAAAATAAATTTTAAGTCACGTCGTTGGCTTATAATGAAAAACCATACTGGCACACACGTACTTAACTATGCATTACAGCAAGTATTACAAACTGTGGACCAAAAAGGATCTTTGGTGGCTCCTGATAGAATGCGTTTTGATTTTTCTTCAAAACAGGCACTTGGTGTTGATCAAGTACATCTTTTTGTTTTTTAATTAAAATTATTTTGCAGGTTAAAAAAGTTCAAGAACATGCCCAAACATTAATTGACACAAAAGGACAAGTATATACAAAAGAATGTGTGTTGTCTGAAGCTTTAAATATTAATGGATTGCGAGCTGTTTTTGGCGAAGTTTTTAGAATTTTAATTTTTTAAATTTTTTGTATTTGCTTTTAGACATATCCAGATCCTGTTCGTGTTGTTTCTGTGGGCATTCCAATTGAACAACTTTTGGAAAATCCTAGCAGTGATTTGGGCACTAAAACATCTGTTGAATTTTGTGGGGGAACGTAAGTTTATTTTGATTTTCTGACTTCTTTTTTTCCTTTTAATTTTAAAATTTCAGTCATTTACGCAATGTTTCACATATTGGTTCATTAGTAATTACAACAGAAGAAGCAATCGCCAAAGGAATTCGTCGAATTGTTGCAATTACTGGGCCAGAAGGAGAAAAGTCTTTACAAAATGCTGAGAAATTGACCAAAAATTTAAATGAATTAATTGAAATGGCAGAAAAAGAATATGAAGAGATTGGAAAAGAATGGAATGAAGAAAGATTGAAAAAACTTGGAAAATGTATTACTGACTTTGAAGAGGTATTGAAATATATTTAATAAATATTTTAAAATTAAAAAAATTAATTTTTAAGAAAATAAATAATCAACAATTGCCATATATCCAAAAAGATGCTCTTCGTGAAAATATTAAAAAAATTAGGATGAATATGAAAAAATTAAAAAAGAATTCAAAGAAAGTAGAAGATAATGCAGAAATTAATGAAAATAATAAAAAAGGGAATAAAAAGAATAATAAAAAGGAAGAGAAAAAAGAATTAAATAATGAGGAGGAAATTAAAAATAAAATTAAAGAACCTTTTTTGAAAATAAGTCTTGTTTAATTATTTGTTTTTATTGGAGAATTTTTTGTTTTGTTTTTAATGATTGTTGTGCCTTTTCGTGCGTTTTTTGTAAAAATAAAATTTTAACAAATCATTCAAATTATAGTAGATGGTGAAAGAGTTTTGCTTTTAAGGAGAAAATCAACTTCGCCAAAAATAAAAATATTAAATTCTTTTATTATAAATTGACGTGTTGCTGTTTGGTTAAGTGGTCTAAAAGTTGGTTTTGAACTGGTTTTGCTAGTGATGAAAGGTTTCCTTTCACTTCTGATAAATCTGTTGAAAAAAATCTGTCCCTGAAGCAAAACAGACAATCTTTTTGATCAGACAGTTAATATTTTATTTTTTAATTTTGATAAAAAGAAAACATGTTCGATGTGTCTATACTTGGTTAAGTTGTTAAAATATTTTTTGAATATTTTAACCCCAATTTCCCGTTGATTTTTTGTATTTGAGATCTCAATGAAGTTCAGGCTTCGTTCTCTTTACAATAACACTTTTCGTTGGAAATGTCTACAGGAATTTTTGTAGAATTTTTGGAACATTGTAATACTATGTATAAGATTTTCTTAAATTTTAAAGATGGTGAAAGAGGAATTTTGCTCTATAAGGAAAAGACCAATTTCGCCAAAAATAAAAATATTAAATTATTTATCAAGTTGATGTGTTGTTACTTGGTTAAGTGGTCTAAAGTTTGGTTTAAAACTAGTGTTGTTTTGCTAATGATGAACAAAGCCCTAGTACCTGATAAATCTGTTGAAACTATGGTCCCTGAAGCAAAACCAACATCTTTTCGATTAGTTAATATTTTATGTTTTAATAAAATTAATAGTATTTTTTAAATTATTTGGTAATAAGAACACATGTTCGATGTGTCTCTGCTTGGTTAAGTGGTTTACGTTATGAATATAATTTATAATAAGTTATCCTTCGAGTTCAGATCTACACTCTGTAACAAAATGATAGGACCCCCTAGTTTTTTTCAATATCCTACCAAATATGGTTCCGTGACTTTTGCGCCGAGAACATTTGCGCCGCGACTTATGCGCCGCGACTTTTGCGCCGCGACTTATGCGCCGAGCGACTTTTGCGCCGGGGGACTTTTGCGCCGCGACTTTTGCGCCGGGCGACGTTTGCGCCGCGACTTTTGCGCCGGACGACTTTTGCGCCGCCACTATCATTAATAATTATGAAAAACTACAGCCGGACCTCACTTTAGAAGATGTAGGATAGTTGGAGATCTTCGGATATCAAGATCTGGATCCGATATCCAAGCTAAAATTTTCGGCTATCAGGCCTTTTTCAGATCTGGATATCTGGACTCGACAATCCTACACTATAGTGCACCCTCTTCAGGCAGAAAATCATGTCTGAATAGGGGTAGCAGACCAAATATCCTGATCCGAAAAAGTCAAGTTCTTTGAAAATGACCCCTCTAAGGGGTTGATTTATTTTTCAACCTTCCTCTAGGGGGTCGTTTTATTAGAGGGGGCTATTGTACTTCCCGAAATATTGCACTTCCTGAAATTCCTTCAGCTCCTGGATACCATTTTTTAAGGAGTACTCTATAATTAGGTCCCTTTGTAGATATTATTTTTTTTAATTATGGCGGCGCAAATGTCGCGGCGCATAAGTCGCCCGGCGCAAAAGTCGCGGCGCACAAGTCGCTCGGCGCATAAGTCGCGGCGCAAAAGTCGCGGCGCAAAAGTCCCCCGGCGCATAAGTCGCGGCGCAAAAGTCGCGGCGCAAATGTTCTCGGCGCAAAAGTCGTGATACCCCAAATATTACACGGATTTGTTTCAAATTTTGGTAGAATATAGGTAAGGATATTATGTATCAATAATGAAAAGAAAAAGTTGAATTCAATTTTTAAAAAAAATTTTATAATAATAAATATGATTTTGGAGTGTAACAAAATGATAGGACCCCCTGTATTTTCGACCTTCGGGGTGGTCTGAAAAATCTACAAAAATCCCTGTAAACATATCTATTGATATCTATAGTAAATACAAAAGAAACGAAGTTCCAATATAATTCCTTCATTGAGATATGAAAACCCGAAAATCAACGGAAAACATGGGGTAGACGTCTTTAAAAATTATTTTCGACCTCTTACAGGTGAGATAAAAATTTTATTTTAGGATTATTTGAAAGCCCTTGAAATTTGCTACAAGATAGTTTCCAGCTCATTATCCAGAAAAAATTATTCTTTGAGAAATAATCAGTTTAGTTTGTAAGTATTATTTTCAAAACTTTTTGGGCGGCGTTTGAGTGATTTTTATGACCTGAAAGTTAATCACATTATGTCTTCAAGGCGAATTTTTTTCAGAAAATAAAATTAATGCTATATTGTAGCAAATTTCAAGGGCTTTCAAATAAGCCTAAAATAAAATTTTTATCTCACCTGTAAGAGGTCGAAAATAATTTTTAAAGACGTCTACCCCCTGTTTTCCGTTGATTTTCGGGTTTTCATATCTCAATGAAGGAATTATATTGGAACTTCGTTTCTTTTGTATTTACTATAGATATCAATAGATATGTTTACAGGGATTTTTGTAGATTTTTCAGACCACCCCGAAGGTCGAAAATACAGGGGGTCCTATCATTTTGTTACACTCCAAAATCATATTTATTATTATAAAATTTTTTTTAAAAATTGAATTCAACTTTTTCTTTTCATTATTGATACATAATATCCTTACCTATATTCTACCAAAATTTGAAACAAATCCGTGTAATATTTGGTAGGATATTGAAAAAAACTAGGGGGTCCTATCATTTTGTTACAGAGTGTACATGTTTTGCTAATGATGAACACAGGTCAGCTCACCTCTGATAAATCTGTTGAAACCGATGTCTCTGAAGCAAAACAAACAAAAATCTTTTCGAAGGATTTGTTTTATATAAGGTTTTATTTTTCTACAATTGTTTACATAGTAAATAAATATACGTATCAATATTTGTGTAGTAGTCATTTCTATGATTTTACAAAAAAAGTAGTTTTGATAATTTTTGCTAAATTAATTTTCTCTTAAACTAAATTCTAAAATTTTAAATCTATTTTCTCTTATTTTTGCATCAATTCAATAACAGCTTTAACTATATCTGAACTGTGACAAGTACCCTAAAAAATAAAATTTAAATTATTATTTTTTTTTATTTAATAATTCCCCCCACTCAATCTAAAGTCTTTATAAAATTACCCCAATATCGGGTGTATGCAATTTCCGTTCAGTCAAAGCAATAAATAAAGCATCTGACATTTTATCTGCATAACCATCCAACTTTAAAAATAATTTAAAGTAAATTAATTTTTATTCTCTCACCCCCAAATAACGTAACATATCAATAGCTGCACGTATAAAAGCTGTTGGATTAGCCAAATCTTTACCAGTTAAAGATGTGCCTGTGTTTCTGGTCCCCTGTTTTGAAGAAAAACTGAATTTTTAGATAAAAATAATTTTTAAATAAAAAAAATAATTTGAGAAAAAAGGACTTTTTAGAGGAGAGATTTTAGATAAAATCTCCTCTTTTCCTTTTATTTTTTTGTTCCAAAATTTCCCCTTCAAAAATCTAACCGTTTCAAAAACAGCATATTCCTCCCCAATATTCATTCCAGAAACAAGTCCCGGCCCTCCAACCAAACCACAAGCAATATTTGAAATTATATTTCCATAAAGATTTGGCATAAGTAAAATTGCCCCGTTAAATTGTTGTGGACGGCTAACTAATTGCATACAAGCATTATCAACTTAAAATTCAATTTTTTTTTAATTAAAAAAATCTTTTTTTTAACCAATTAAAGAGTCAAAACGTAATCCTTTCGATTTATATTCGGTATCAGCAATTTCTTTACAAACCTTTGAAATTTTTTTGAAAATTCTTTAAAAAATTTCAAAAAACCTTCAAAAATAGACCGTCTCCCAATTTTTGAATATTTGCTTTGTGAATTGCAGTAATATTTGGTCTATTATTCAAAACAGCATAATCAAAAGCATAACGAGCTATTCTTTCAATTCCATGTCGGGTTACAATCTTTTAATTTGAAAAAATTAAAAAAGAGGAGGGAATTTAGTTCGAAAATTTTTAAAAATAAAAAAAATTTTTCAATTATTCTATGTTTTATTCCAAATATTTTCATTAAAATGTTATGATTTTCCATATTTCAAAAATCCCACTCTCCTACCCAAGAAAAAAATTCAATAAAAAACCTTCAAACTTTCAACAATTCCAGGTTTAGGTTCATGTTCTAGCCCACTATATTCTCCTTCAGTATTCTCTCTAATTAATACCAAATCAAGATTGTGATGACGAGTAGGGATTGTTGGGACAGAAACACAGTGAAGAACATTTGCAAATCTTTTTTTGGAATTAAAATTTATTTTTAAAAATATTTACAAATCAAGTCGACGTCGAAGTTCCATATTTCTTGATTTAAAATCTGGATTGTCAAATTTTGTTTCAATATTTCCCTGAAAAAGAGAAATATTAAAATTAAGAAATTTATTTTTTTGATAGAAATTATTTTTTTCCCAAAAATCCCCAAAAATTCCATGTATTTTAATATTTTTAAATTAAAAAATTTAATAATTTACCTTCAAAGCAGCCCCAGTTTTGTGTATAGCATTTATTGCCTTTTCTAATTCCTCATCTGTCGGGTCTTTTGAATTTAATTCAACATCATTAAAATCAACAGGAATATTTAAAGAAGAAAATATTCGTTTAATATGTCCAAGCATCTTTTTTTAAATAAAAAATTAATTTAAATCTTTTAAAAAATTATTTTTACCTCAGGTCCAATTCCATCCCCAGGCAAAGCTGTTACTGTATAACGATTGTTGTTTTTGGAGAGAATAATCTGGAAATTTAATTTTTAGAATTAAATAGAAAATAAACCTTACATCATTTTTTGATTTACTTTTAGGCAAAATGTGTGTTCTTAAAGCTGATTTAAAACGATAAAAATCTAACAAAGTTTTTGTATGTTTTTGTCGAATTATTGAATTTGTACAGAACATTTCAAAAACTAAAAAAATATTTTTTATTAAAAATAAGAATTATTCTACAAAAATATTGTAAAAATAATTCTTTTTTCGATTTTCCATAGAAAAAATATTTTGTTTGAAAATAAAAACTTTTTGTTTGTTAAGAATTAAGAGAAATAAAAAAAAACTATTTATTACTTTTGTCGAGAGAAATCAATAAACAACTGATAGATAGATGGTGGATTTTTAAGTGATTTAAATTGTAAAAATAAGAAAAATAAAAAAGAGGAATAATATTTTGATTAATAAATTTTTTTTATTAATAATTAAATTAAAAATATTTTATTTTAAAAAATAACAATTTTTGTTTGTCTATAAAAATATATTCTATAAAATTTTTCAAAAAAATATATTAAATTAATTAAATTTCTTCCCAAAATTCCTCATTCCTTCCCTTTTCTCATTCTTCCCCTTTAAATTTTATTTTCAATTAATTTTTCCAATAAAATAGTGTCAGCAGCAAAACGTCTAATTCCATCAGATAAACGGTCAGAAGCCATAGAATCTTCATTAAGTTCCCATCGAAATTTATTTTCGTCGATATTTTCAATTAATTGGACATTTTTTGTTTGGGCAATTTCTTTTGATAAAATTTTTGAAATTTGTTCATTATCTTCATTTAATTGTTTTAATAATATTGGACTGTTTAAAAATTAAAAATATTAAAGAAAAAATAAAAAAGGGAGGACGCAACAAATATAAAAATGAGAAAATTTTAGAAAAATAGGAATTTCGGCTATATCTGAAAAGGAGGTGCGGCCACAGGGAAAATTAAGGGTGAGGTAAAGACTGAACATTTTTTTCACATTAATGAAAGGTACCTGACTAGTGTAAGGAAGGAGAAAAAATATGATCCCGCACCTCCTTTCAGATAAAGCCCGGAATTTCGATTTTTGAAATGATTTTCCGAAATTTTTAAAATAAATTCTTTATTTCTCAATGTAAAAAGTCTGAAAATCCTTTTAAAGAAAAAACCCCCCTTACCTAATCGTCAAAAGATCACAACCAGCCAATCCTTTAATTTGTTCAGTATTTCGAAAAGAAGCAGCCATTACTTGTGTTTCATGTCCAAAATATTTGTAATAATTATATATTTTTGTAACACTTAAAACCCCAGGATCTGTTTGTCTAGTAAAATTCTGTTCTGTTGTATTTTTTAAATACCAATCCAAAATACGGCCTTTTTAAAGGGAAAATTTTTTAAATAAAATTTAAATTGTTTACCTACAAAAGGAGAAACAAGAGTAACCTTTAAAAATAAAAGGAAAAAATAAATTATTTAAAGGTAGCATCCCGAAACCCCGTCGAATTTTTTGGCAAAAGCCAAGACTCGAACTCTGAAGGCTCTACCCCGGCAAACCCCGACGATCACGTCTCAAAGGCTCGGGATTCTACCCTAATTTAAAGAAAAAAAACCTTTGCCTGAGCACAAGCAACAGCCTGATAAAAATTAAATAAAAGAGTCATATTGCAATGAATGCCGTGTTGAGACTCCAAAATTCTTTTTAAAAAAATTAAAAAAAATATTTTTAAATTCCAAACTTTGCCGCCTGAATTCCTTCCCAAGTCGAAGCAAGTTTGATAAGAATTCTTTCTTTAGAAATTCCTTCTTCCTCATATAAACGAATAAAATTTAAAGCTTTTTCAATTGAAGCATTTACATTAAAAGAAAGTCTAAAAACTTTTTAAGAAAAATTCTTTTAAAAGAAAAACCTCGCATCAACTTCAGTGCTAACCCTTCCAGGAACAATTTTCAAAATTTCTTTCCCAAAAAGAACAAACAATTTATCCATCGCCAAAGACAAAATAATTTCTTTAGAAGCATTTCCAACAGATTTTTCTTTTGCATAATTTATTGCTAGATCAATTAAATGTTTGTATTTTTCGTCTTTTGTTGCTGCCAAAATTAGAGAAGGATTTGTTGTTGAATCGGTTGGTTTAAATATTTCTATTGCTAAAAAAATAAAATATTTTTAAAATAAAAAATTTGTTTTTTTACAATGAAAATCTCCTGTATCAGCAACAATAATTGAAATTTGTTTTAATTGGTCTAAAACTGAAGAAGACATTTTTGCTGAATTTGAAAAGAAAACAGCAAAATTTAATTTTTTAATTGAGAGTAAAATATTTGAAAAATATAAAGAGAAATGATATTTATGTAAATGGTCTGATTTAAAAGAAAAATCTTTAAAAAATGATAAAAACAAAAAAATTTAAACAAACGTAGTTGAGTCCGACAAGAAAGGGAATGTAAAGGAAATGAAAACAAAGCAAGACTTTATTGGTAAAGTCGTCTGATTTTTTCTGAAGGTCTTCAAACACCGCAAGGGATAAGTTTTGAAATTTTCTAGTATTTGGATCCGACAAGGATAACAAAAATGGAACGACAATCAATGTAAAACTTCAAATTTTTAAAATGATTCAAAAAAATCTCAAAGGGTGATAACTAGGGGTGCCAATTATATGGAAATCCATATTTTTTTCCTGAATTCCTATGACTGTGAAATGTACGAAAAACATGTTTTTGGCTTGTTTTAGAGTTTCTAGAATGGTCTTTAAAATCCATATTTTCCATATTTTTCCATATTTTGGCATTATGCCCATATTTTCCATATTTAGCCTTTATACTAGAGACCGGCAAAATCGTGTTTGCGGGATCCCGCATGCGGGATTTTTTTTCAAAATCTTTGCGGGACGGGATCCCGCGGGATAAATCCCGCAAAATCCCGCATCCCGCAAAATCCCGCAATTTAAATTTGCGGGATCCCGCGCGGGATTGCGGGATTTTCCAAAAATTGTTAAAATTATCAATATCTATTTAAAAAATCAATTTCCTAATCATTATCGGGTTCTTAAATCATTAACGAGCTAATAAATATTCGTCAGAAAGTTCGAGTATACAAATTAGAATACGGAGCATACCTCAGTTCAGTCTGGATCAATTCAGTATGGACCTTTTAACTCATCAAGGAACGGTCACTGACATGTTCTTGATACCATTAAATAGAGGAAAAATTTCGAGATTTTAGAATCAAGGGCTCTACAAATTTTCAAAAAATCAGAATTTTTGACCGATTGATAAAAAAGTTATGATATAAAAACCAACTTTTTCAAAAAAAACGGGATTTTTTGGCACTTTTTCGAACATAACTTTTTTACTAGTTAGTCAAGATTTTTGATTTTCTAGTATATGGTAGCTTATTTAATGCTCTATCAAATAGTACCAGGAACATTAAAAATTATCGGCCCCTTCAAAAGTTATAGGGCGCGCGACTGAACTGAACCCAGACTGAAACGAGGTGTACACATTAAATGGCTTGAGCTGAAACAAATGGGATCAATCATCGTGATCTAACAATTTGGACAATCTTGTTTTTATGAAATAGAGATGATTCCATGGGCGGCAGGCGAAAATTTTAGAAGGCCAAGTATCGAAATTCCATCATTTTCAGCGCCGCAGGCGAAAATTTCGAGATTTTAGGAAGGCCAGCGAGCCAAAATTCTTCTTTTTCTAGCGCCGCAGGCGAAAATTTTTTGATTTAGAAGGCCATGAGCCAAAATCCTCTATTTTCCAAAAATCCCGCAAAATGCAAAATATTTTGCGGGATCCCGCATGCGGGATTTTTTTCAAAAAGCTTTGCGGGACGGGATCCCGCGGGATAAATCCCGCAAAATCCCGCATCCCGCAAAATCCCGCAAATCGAAAAAAGTGCGGGATTGCGGGAGCGGGATCCCGCAAAATCCCGCGCGGGATCCCGTCCCGCGCCGGTCTCTACTTTATACCCATATTTTATATCAATATTTCCCCTTTTTTGTTAAATTTTGGTAAAAATTGGTGAAAATTTTCAAAATTTTGGAAATTTTTGGCCAAAAAATTTTTTCGAAAATTTTTCGGAAAAATTTATTTTCAAAAAAATTTTAACAGAAATTTTAAATCCATAAAATCTTTTAGAATGCTCTTAAAATGCAAATTTAAAGGCAAAATTATTGTTTTCTGCATAAAATACTGATTTTTAAAATATCTTTTCACTATTTTTTGGTCCATATTTTGGGATTTTATATCCATATTTAGTGTTTATTTCCATATTTATATTAGAGACCGGCGCGGGACGGGATCCCGCGCGGGATTTTGCGGGATCCCGCTCCCGCAATCCCGCACTTTTTTCGATTTGCGGGATTTTGCGGGATGCGGGATTTTGCGGGATTTATCCCGCGGGATCCCGTCCCGCAAAGCTTTTTGAAAAAAATCCCGCATGCGGGATCCCGCAAACACGATTTTGCCGGTCTCTAATTTATATCCATATTTCAGGATTTTATATCCATATTTTATGTCCATATTTTTCGATTTTATATCCATATAATTGGCACCCCTAGTGATAACCCTATTAAAATAAAAAATGCAAACATTTACATATAAATTTTATTTTACAACACCATATAAACAAACAAAAAAGGCAATACAAATGGAAAAAAAGGAAATAAGTACATACAAACACAACAAAAGAATCGAAGGAACAAAATATCAAGTATGGAAATATCTCAATCTGTCTTCTTCGCAACATCAATTATCCTCCTCCTGTTGTAGTAGATGATGTTCCAGCATCGGTGTCGCCCTTCGTTCCGCCAGCACGTGCAGGTGTCGCTGTTAATGGGCGGCCAAATTCGTCCAAAGCCATTGGTTCCACCACAACTTCCTCTACGTGGTAGACTAAAAATGGGGGAAAATTTTCGCTATTCAAAGACGTACAAAGCAACGAACCATTTGGTCTCGTGTCAGATGACGTTCCACCCCCGTCCTCAGTTTGCTTATCTTCACAGGGTTGCAATTTGTGATTTCGATTCCAAAATCCCTTGTGCTTTTTCATTAAAAAGCGTACATCGAGCGGTAATTCATTCTGACTCTTCTTCTTCACATTGCGGATGATCTTCAGCGTGACCACTGTCCTTTGTTCGATTGCTTCCCGGATGAGCCTTTTTGCTTCGTCGTTGTTTGTAACGACTTTGCCCCCTACTGAAACAAAATAAATTTATTTCCGGTTAATTTTGAGTTATCTTTTACCTTTCTCTAAGATGTCCCCATATTGAAAAAACTGATTTGCAATGCTGCCCGGCTGAACTTGCGTCACGACAATGGTACCATCCTAAAAATCAAAACAAATTTCCTAAAAAAAACTCCTAAAAATTTGTCTTACCCTGTTCTCGATGACCAGCCCAAGAGGCAAATCCGCCCTCCAGCGAGCTTGTACGTAGATGGCCTCTTCCCGTTCGCCTTTTGCACACCTTTTAATGACCTTCATTCTGTAGTAGATGTCGCGTCGGAACTGAACGTTGACACTTCTAGGCAGCCGTCCTTCTGAGCAGCGCGCATTGAACTCGTCACCAGAGTTGATTGCCTGAAATTTAGAGATGCGTTAATTAAGCCTAAAGCTTAAAATCTGTCCATACTTGTCCGTCGACGCTCAAAACGACATCACCAGGCATCAAATGTCCAAGGAAGCAGGAGTCGTACCGGAGACGTTCAACGCGCGGCGGCTTTACTGCATAAAAAGTGACGCCAGGTTTTGCATCGGGCACCAGAACTTGCATGGTCTCTTCCTGGATGTACCTCTGACCTTAAAACAATAAGCAGGTTGTTAATGAAAAAAAAACAATAATTAAAGCAAACTCACTTTTTTGTGACATACGAGCCCGCGAAAGGTATAGTTGAAGGTCCGAGTAGAGTTGAAGAACGCGTCCAGATTAGTGGTTGTTGAATTGATGGAGTCTGTTGGAGTCATTGAATTGCTCGTCTTTATATAGTACTTATCTCACGGCTAATGATATATGTAGGAAAATTATTTATTAGTCTTAGAATTAGTCTTTTCGACTAGTTCTTTTTATTTTTAAATATTTTCATTTTTTGGCATTGTGTTATTGCCAAACTAGCACTAAAATTACATTTAAAATGCATCGATTTTAATTTTAATTCTAACCTTATTTCTTAACTATTTTTTAGCATCTTCCTAATCTTAAAATAATGGATGACAAAATTAATTCCAAACCTCATTTATTTCATGGATTTCCTTCAAATGTTCCAATCCAACTTAAACAAGCATACGCACAACGTGGTATCAAAAAACTTTTTCAATGGCAATCGGAATGCTTGACAGATTCATCACTTTTTGCTCCAGAATACTCAAATTTAATTTATTCAGCACCTACAAGTGCAGGAAAAACTTTAATTGCTGAAGTATTGGCTGCCTGTAATTGTTTGGAAACTGGACGTCGAACAATTTTTGTTCTTCCTTATATTTCTGTGTAATTTTACTTTTTATTTTAAATTAAAAAAATTAATTTTTAATTGCTCGTGAAAAACTTCTTTACTTACAAGTATTTTAATTATTTATTTTCTTTATTCATTCCTTTCATTAGTCATTATGGCGCTCTATTGGGTTAGTTGTTAAACCATTTATTGGTGCTTCTTCCACGAGTGTTAATGGATGGTCTGCTGCTGTTTGCACTATTGAGAAAGCTAATGCACTTTTAAATGCTCTTATAGAAGTTGATTCTGCACATGAAATTGGTTTGTTTTTCAAAAAATTTAAATTTTTGATTATTAAGGAACTGTTGTTGTCGATGAATTACACATACTTTTTGAAAGTGAACGTGGCGCCGTTGTTGAAAATTTAATTGCAAAATTGTTATATATTTCCAAACAAAATAATTTTAACAGGTTTTTTTTTAAATTCTTTTTCCTTTATTTTCTAATCCTTTAAGAATTCAAATTATTGGATTGAGTGCTACTTTAGGTGATAATGAATTACATAAAATGTTAGCAGACTGGATTGATGCCCGAACTTTTCAAACAGAATTTCGTCCACTAGAGTTGCACGAATATTTAGTTCATGAAAATGGTCATATTTTTAATTTACTTGAAAATGGGGAAAAATGTAGAGAATTGGATGAAAATTTTATAATTAAAGGAGATAATAAATGCATAATTGGGTAAGATTTGTTTTTGTTGTTTCTTTTTTAATTTTTGTAGGATTACTTTGGAAGCATTACTTCAGTCACAATCAATTCTTATTTTCTGTCCAACAAAAGCTGAGGCAGAACAAAGTGCGATTTTGTTGGCTAAATATTTAAAATATTGTTCAGACAAGGTTTGTTTCTTTTTATATTTCTAGATTAATATTTTCATTTTAGGGAGAAGCCAATCGTTTTCCTGAGCTTTCTTCTATCCTTCCTCGTGAAAAAATATCCGAAGCTATTGAATATTTTCGTCAGAAGAATGCCTGTTCTGAACGTGATCTTCTTCAATGTATTGGTCAAGGTGTTGCTTTTCATCACGCGGGATTGACAATTGAAGAGAGGGAAGTAATTGAGGCGTTGTTTCGTTCAGGGCATTTACGTGTTTTAGTTAGGTCAGTTTTTAATATCAATGGGTCGGAATATCTAAAAATAATTTTTAAATTATTTTTTTACTTTGCATATTTATTTGTGTATTAAATCTAACAATAAAAATATTTTCAGCACTTCAACTCTCAGTTCTGGTGTAAATTTGCCTGCACATCGAGTTCTTATTCGAACAAGTGCTGGCGGTCCAGTCCCCCTCAGTTTTGTAACTTACAGTCAGATGGTTGGACGTGCTGGTAGACAGGGACAAACAATTTCTGCTGGTTATTAATTTCTATTTTTTTATATTTAATATTTAGGTGAAAGTTATTTACTCTGTAATGCCACCGATTGGCTAGCTGTTCAACGTCAAATTCAACGGCGTACATTTAACCGACCAAAACGAATTTTTGGACGTCTTTTACTCGAGGTTGGTCAGAAAATATTTTTAAATTTTTAAAATTTAAATTTTAGACAATAAACAGCTCTTTATGCAAAAATCTGGGCGATGTAAATAATTTGATAGAAAATTGTCTTTTTAGTCAACAAGCACGTTCATTAGATGAAGAATTAACATATTTAATTCAATTAAAAGTTATAACATTAGGTGGAGATTCTTTGGCTGAATTTGATGAAGAAAAGAGTGATAGTGACAATATTAATGTTCAAAACCAACCTGAAATTGGGCCTGATAATAGTTTTGATAAACAAACTACTACTAAATCTACTTTGGTAAATTTTAGTTTTGAAATTAAATAACAGACTAGAATAAATTTGAAAATAAATTTGGAAATATTCCATTTTAGGTTTACTTTTAATTATTTTTTTAATTTTTAGGTTCGTCCAACCCAATTAGGCCGAGCTGTGCTTGCCTCTTCTCTTGATTTAAGAACAGCACTTCAAGTATTTGATGGACTTAAGAAAGCTATGCAGTCTATTTGTTTGGATACAGAATTGCATATGCTTTATTTGGTAATAATTTTTGAAAAAAATTTTTTTTAATTAATTTATTTAAAGGTCACTCCTGTAAATAATTTGGCAATAAATGAGAATTCAATAAATTGGAATTTTTTTCACAAGCAATGGACTAAATTGTCAGAGGAGCGACGTCGCGTAGCTCATAGAATTGGAATTTCTGAAGAATTTTTTATGCAAAAACTGGGTGGACGGTCATTTCCGAGGGATCATCCTTTATTAAATGTGAATTTTTTTAATTCTTTTGACCTTGATGAAATTATAAATATTTTTCATTTTTTAGTTACATGTGCGTTTTCTGGCTTCTCTTATTCTATACGAACTTATAAATGAAAAGGCACTTCAGGATGGTAAATAAATTAATTTTTGTTTTATAAAAAGATTTTTTAAATTAAAGTTGCCAAAATTTGGGGTATCAACCGAGGGTTACTTCAATCTTTACAGCAACAGGCAGCTACTTATGCTTGTAATATTTATTTTTGATTTAAATTTATTTAAATTTTTTAGATATGATTGTCTCTTTCTGTGATCGTCTTGGTTGGGTTCATTTAAAAACACTTTTGGATGATTTTGCTGAGCGTTTACAATTTGGAATTAGAAGAGATTTAACTGAACTTGTTCGAATACAAGGTCTTTTGTTTTTTAATTTTTTATATAAATCTTTTAAGGAATTGATGCAATTCGTGCTAGAGCTTTTCATAGAATGGGAATAGAATCTCTAGTTTCACTTGCTAATTGTCCTTTAATTCGTGTTTGTACTGTATTGAGAAAAGCTGTTCCGTTTAAAATGTATTTTTTTTTATCTTGAATTTTTTATCTTGTTAATTTACAGAAATTCTGACACTGAAGGTTTAAATTCAGAAGATGGGGAGGAAGAGAAGAACACATGGCTACATGATGAACCTCCTACTTTTGAACGTGTAGCAGCAAAAACATTAATTGAACGTGCAAAAATTGCCATTAAAGAAAAGATCAAGTTGGTTTTTTTATTTTTTTGGTTCAAATTTTAATTTTTTAGAGCCTTCAAAATTGTCAATTTCCCTACTTGTATTTCTAAAAGTGATGTCAATTTATCTCTTCGATTTGATACGTCAGTATTGAGTGTTTTGGACAATGATGATGGAGAAGATAAATTGGCAGAGTCTACAGCTGTTGCTGATCTTTCTAAAAGTATTTTGGAAGAAGCTTGGATGTCTGAAGATGAAAGTAATAATAACTCCTCTAATGCTTTACTTGGCGGTGTTTCTTTGTTGGCAACTACAGATGATGAAAGTGCTGTTGATTCGCTTTGTGATTCTTTCTCTCCGTTGCGTTTAGAGAAGCCAATGATTATTGTAAATTTTTAAAAATAAATTTACTCTAAAATTATATTTTTAAGTTTAATGACCCTCAGAATACCAATAACAATACTAAAGAAAAGAAGATTCTTCCAATATTTAACATTGAAGATTTTAAAGAAAATATTCCCCCAGAATTTTTAGAAAATGGGAAAAAGAAAACTTTGGAAAAAGAAAATAACAAAGATTTGACTCGTACTGCAATGAAAAATAGTTGGGCATCGAAGGTAAAATAATTATTTTTGGCTCTTGTCCAGTTCATGCGTCCCATGAAAATTTATGCGTCCCATGAAGATTTATGAGTCCCATAAAAATTTATGCGTCCCAAGAAAATTTATGAGTCCCAAAAATAATTTATGCGTCCCATAAAAATTTATGCGTCCCAAAAATAATTTATGCGTCAATGAAATGATTGAAAAAATATTCAAAAATTACAAAATTTAACAAAATTTTGACTTAAGTCGCCGACTCTGATAGGTCTACTTAATGTCATATCTTTGTCAAATCTTGTCCAATCAAGTTGATTTTGGTGTCATTCGACTCAGCTTGACGAGTTTTTTCGAATGAGCTATCATTTGTACAAATTTGCATGATTTTTAAATTTTCAGGGGTCTGTATTTCGGTCAAATCAAGTCGGATTTTTTCGATTTTGGCGTCATTAGACACAGCTCGACGAGTTCTATAAATTAACATTGACTTAACACAACATTGGCCCAAAAAATTGACTCGTTGGCCCTTGAGCAATGCTTTATAACAAACACATTTTTTAAACGTTTTTTTAATTTTGCAATATTTTTTCAATTCATGGGACGCACAAATTTTTATGGGACGCACAAATTATTTTTGGGACGCATAAATTTTTATGGGACGCATAAATTATTTTTGGGACGCATAAATTTTTATGGGACTCATAAATTCTCTTGGGACGCATAAATCTTCATGGGACGCATGAACTGGACAAGAACCTTATTTTTTATTCAAAAAAAATTTAAAATTCTTTAAAGGCTTCTGTTTCTTCTATTAATACAAAGGAAGTTCCAAATGCCACAACAATGCCTTCTTCCCCCTTTCACTCTCCTAGGGCAAAGAAATTTGCAACAACAAAAGAAATAAATTGTGAACTAAAGAATATTAATTCTAATAATAAAAATTGTAATAAAATAAAAACAAAAATTGAGAAAACAAAAATGGCTGTAATAAATCCAATTTGTAGGTAAAATAAATTAAAAAATTATTTTTTTAAATTTATTTTTAAAAATTTGTAGTTGTACATCAATTAAACAAATATTGGCAATATTTACGGAATGTTGGCTATTAATTTTGGATGATAATGTCTTATTAGCTTATGATGATGATTTCGATCAAACACTAGTATTTCATTCTTTTCCACTTTCTACACTTCCAGAGAATTTTTGTAAAAATTTTTTAAAATTATTTTTAGAAATAATTTTAAATTTCAGGCAAAATTTGTAAAAATTCTTCAACTCTTCTTTTTTCAATTTTGGAACATCCACGTATTCGTAAATGGGTTTTTTGTGGATTAGAATTTTTGAGAAAATTGAGGATATTTTTGCCTGAATGTAACGAGAATAATCAACAAAAATTAATTGAGGTAGTTAATTAAATATTTTTTAAATTTTATTTTTAATATTTTAAGTCTAAAAATTTGTGGTGTTTACAAACATTGGATGTTTTAACAAATGGGAATGGCCCTTCTGAATTACTAGAATCAAATTCAAACATTAAATTATTAACATCTACAAGGCTCTTAAATATTCTTGAAAGGTAAATAATTTTTAACATTAAACATTCTTGGCATTTTTTCATTAATTTTAAGCCTTTTTCCTATCCTTCTACTTTTTCCCTATATACATCTTCGGATGAATTAGCTGTCTTCGGATGACTTCTCTTCGTTCAAATTTCGCATTTTATTATGCCGGAATTAGCTGTCTTCGGATGACTTCTCTTCGTTCATTTTTCGCATTTTATTATGCCGGAATTAGCTGTCTTCGGATGACTTCTCTTCGTTCAAATTTCGCATTTTATTATGCCGGAATTAGCTGTCTTCGGATGACTTCTCTTCGTTCAAATTTCGCATTTTATTATGCCGGAATCTGCTGTCTTCGGATGACTTCTCTTCGTTCAAATTTCGTATTTTATTATGCCGGAATCTGCTGTCTTCGGATGACTTCTCTTCGTTCAAATTTCGCATTTTATTATGCCTGAATTAGCTGTCTTCGGATGACTTCTCTTCGTTCAAATTTCGTATTTTATTATGCCGGAATTAGCTGTCTTCGGATGACTTCTCTTCGTTCAAATTTCGTATTTTATTATGCCGGAATCTGCTGTCTTCGGATGACTTCTCTTCGTTCAAATTTCGCATTTTATTATGCCTGAATTAGCTGTCTTCGGATGACTTCTCTTCGTTCAAATTTCGTATTTTATTATGCCGGGATCTGCTGTCTTCGGATGACTTATCATCGTCTTATCGCCCCCTTCATTTTCCATACTATTTACATCAGAACCTAATGATTTTCTTTCTCTATTTTAGACTTTTTCCTGCGTTACTTTTTTTTATAATTCCTTTAAATTTTTTAAAGATTTACCTATTCCAACAAATTTGCTTTAAAAATGTACAAAAAACTGAGCAATTCAAATCAAAAAATATCTCCAACTTTATTACTTCAGACAATTCAATTTTTAAGTCGAACTATTTTTAATGAAATTAGAAATAATAAAGAAAATAAATATTTAATTTTTGATAATAATTTATTGTCTTTGTATATGCAAAGTATGATTGTAAGTTTTTTTTTAAAAAGGGATTAAAAAAATAATTTTTTAATAAAAGATAACTGCCAAAATGGAGTCTGTTGGAATTAAATTAGATAGAAGAAAAGCAGGCAAAATGGTTTCTTATATTTTGGAGAAAATGGTTTTTATTGAAGGGGAAATATATAAATTGGCTGGGGAACGATTTAATTTAGATTCGGCATCCGAACTTTCAAAAGTAAAATTTTTTCTCTTTTAATTAAAAATATTTTTTAACAAAAGATTCTCTTCATAAAATTACAATTAAATTTGCCTGAACATATAATTACAAATAATAATTGTAAAACTCGTAAAAGACATCGAAGACATTTTCCAACAAACGCTTCTGTATTAAAACAAATAAATCATCCAATTTGTGTAAAAATAGAAAAATGGAGAAGAATGGCAAATGCTCTTTCTGTAAATTACTTTTTTAATTAAAATTTTGAAAAAAATTTTTTAAAGTGTTTGAGAAGTCTTCTCGCTTCTGTTTCAAGTGGAGATTCTCGTATATATACTCATTTTGAAAATATTGGAACAATAACTGGAAGAGTTTGTTGTTTTTCTCCAAATTTACAATTTATATCGAAAAAGTCTTTATTTGATGAAAAAACAGCAATTTCTGTTCGTTCAATTTTTGTTGTGCCGAATGGTAAAAAAATAAATTTAAATATATTTTTAATTTAAAAAAGGTCGAATACTTTTGGCTGTTGATTATTCCCAATTAGAATTGAGAATTCTTTGTGCTCTTTCTGAAGATTTAGAATTGGCAAAAATGTTAAAAGAAGAAGATCCTTTTGAACGTATTTCTATTGAATTTGGGAGGTCTATTAATTCAAAGAATAATGAAAAAGGAAATAATGAAATTGTTGGTATTGGACGTGAAAAAGCAAAACAAGTAATTAAATTATTTTTAATTTTTGAAAAAAATATTAAATAGTTAATGTCACAAAAAATTTAAATAATTATTAGAAAAATTTCAAAATTAATTTTTAAAGCTTTGTTATGCAATAATTTATGGAATGGGTGCTACAACTTTAGGAAATGAATTAAAAATTCAAACAGAAGAAGCACAATTATTAATTGATGGATTTTTTAAGCTATTTCCAAGTAAATAAAATTTAACAAAAAATTAATATTTTTCTTTTAGAAGTAAAATATTGGATAAATAAAAATATAGAAAAAAGTAAAGAAAGTGGTTATTCTACAACATTTTTTGGTAATAAACACAATTTTAATTGGGAAAAGGATAAAGAAAAAGTATCTGCACAAAATGCTTTGGAGAGACGTTGTGTTAATTTTGTAATACAGGCAAGTAGTTTTTAAGAAGTATTTAAAAGAAATTTTTTTAATTTAAGGGAACAGCTTCGGAATTATTTAGACAAGCAATGATTAAAGTTGATGAAAAATTAAAAGGTAAAAAAAATTATTTTTTGGATAAAGTAGGGGAAGGAATTGAATATTTTTTTAAATTATTAAAATGAAAATACACTAATATTTGAATTGTTTTGACATTTAAAATTAAATTAAAATTGATATTGGTCAACCCTTAAAATCTTCGGATAACCTTTTTTAACCCTCTAGTCTGGATCCAAATATTTTAAATTTTAATTTTTAAAGAAATTCCAAATGCCTATATTGTTATGCAATTACATGATGAATTACTTATTGAAGTAGATGAAAGTTGTTTGGAAAAATGTGCTTTAACAGTTAAAGAATGTATGGAAGAAATTAATTTAAATAAATCAACAAAAGAAGAAACAAATAATTTTTTTGTTAATTTTCCTGTAAAATTATCTATTGGGCGGGATTGGGGGTCTTTAACAAAATTAGAGGCATCTTTAATTTTATAAACTTTTTTGGGTGTTTTTTTAACATTAAATCCCATAATATTTTTGTAAAAACAAAAAAACAATAAAATATTTATGTACATCGAAACAAAATTTATCTTTTGTATGTTTTGGAGTGACATCTTTTCATGACCTTTTACTTATTTTTATTAAAAAAATTATCTTTTAAATGAGAGGGTTTTGTTTAACAATTAGTAGAATTTGTCATTGTTTTTGACAAAAATTAATGCAAATATTTTATATAAATTTACCTATTTTTTATACAAAAAAGCTTTAATAAAACCAGAGCATTTCCAAGCTTATAATCTTTTTAAATTTGGACATTTTCTTCGTCATTTTGTTGTTTTGGTTAGCCATTTGCCGGGACAACGGAGGAGCCAAAAGATGACGCTTGAAAGAGAAGGGGTGGTGGGGGAAGTGTGTTTGGGGGGAAAGGAGGACACAACAACAACAACACCCGGCGACGAACGACTCAATTCAACGACGTACCAATCTGTGGTAGCCCCTACCTAGAGCGGCAGAAAAGGGGATGACAGCGACACAATGAACCTCATCCGCGTCTCATCCTTTTTTTCTTCATTTAAAAAAAGAGGGTCATCTAAAGGAAATACACTTGAGTCAGAAATAAAAGTTTTTTAATTTGTTTTTTATTTATTTTTTTATTATTTAAAGTCGAAATAAAAAAATTTTTAATTTCATTTATCTTTTGAGGGGAAATTTAAAAATTTTTTTTAATTTAAGAAAAATTCTCTCTCAGACTCAAATATCTAAAAATAACCTTTGCTTGTTCATCATAAACGGAAAAGCCTTTCCCCTCCTCCTTTGACCTTCATTTTTCGGCCCAATGCCCACCCTCATTCTTCCCCTTTTTTATTTCTTCAATCTCTTACAATCTTTGTGCCTTTTTTTATTTAAAAAATAGCTCGATTGGTTAAAAAGCAAATGAGGGAGAAAAAAAGAACGCCGGAGGTCGTTTGGCTTCATTTTTGTGTTTTTCCCCATTTTTTCTCCTCTTTTCACGCCACAAAAGAGGTTGACCCAGCAGGTATTTTCTTCTTCTTCTCCGCCTTCTTTTTCTTCCCTCTTCATATATTCACATACACAAAAATGTTGTTGATGATGACCAACACAAAACTATCACTACTTTTTATATAAAAATTATATTTATTTTTTTGTTTTGTTTTTGTGTGTTATCCAAATAAAAATACGAGAAAAACTACGAGAGAATGCTCTAAAAATATCCAAAATTTATTTTTGTCCGAAAAAATTGACAAATTTTTAATTTTTGCTGAATTAAAAAGTAATTTTCTTTTTGAAATTTTTTTATTCTATTTGATTTTATAGGCTAATCAAAATTTTAACTTTAATTAAAATTTAATTGACAATTTTCTTTAAAAAAAATTTATTTTATATTTCATTTAAAGTTTAATCCCCCCTTCCCCATTTTTGTATTAATTTATTTTTCTACCAAAAATTATTAACTACAAACACAATGACAATATTTAAATTTCTAGCCAAAATTATGCCCGTGAATAATTCTTCGGTTACCGTGAATTTTTTTTTCCAAAATATGTCGGTCACCGGGAATTTATTCATGAGTATATATTATTGACTAAATAAATAATTGTTTGGATATTCTTAAATAAAACTACAAATTAAATTCAGGAATTGTCAACTAAATAAATGCAAAAACTTTAGAAAACTTCGATTAGAAAAGTTAGGTACAACAAGATAAATTTTAATGAGATAATTTTTAATAAAAAATAAAAGCATTTAGAAAAAAATAAAAAATTCAAAAAAATTTTTTCAAGAAATATAAATTTCAATTTTTAAAATCTTGCTGAAAATATTAAAATTGAACGTGCATGTAAAGATTTGAGAAATTTATGTTGTGTTTGGATACAGCTGGATTGTAAGAATTTAAGAATTTCGCATGGAAAAATAAAGAAGAAATTGACGACAAACTTTAAAAAAATTTAAAAAATGAATAATTTAAGGTAGTATAATAAATTTTAAAAGGTTATTCCGACACAAGCTTAAATGTTTCTTTATGTTTTTGTTTTTGAAGCTTCTCTTCATACGTTAGGAAAATTCGATTCGAGGGGCAAGTTATACAGAGATTCCCCTGTATTTAATTAAAGTGACAATAGCAATAATACAGTTTTTGCCAAAAAAAAAGTGAAAGATGAAAACATTAATTAAACAAATAAAAATTGAAAAAACACAATCTTAACTTTTACTGATAATGGAGAAGTACTTCTCGATAATTTCGATGCATTTATCTTATATTTTGATGCATTTCTTTAATTTCGATGCATTTATCAATAATTCTGATTTAAATTTATAAAAAATATAATCACATGTTTTCAGAGTAAAAGATAAAATATATGTCGCATTTTCGAAATGCGATTTCATTTTTCCCAAGCTTACAAAAACTTGTTTATTATTAAAATTCTTTCGTTGTAAACTTTCCCAACATATTTCCTATAAAATCTATCAGCGGATAGTTAAAAGGAGTTCATTCATTATTCATTGTTCTTTCCCAGTTTTAAAGCTTTACACAATTTCATTCTAATAAAATTCTTCTAAATAAAATCTACTTCGCAATAAAATATATTTTATACGCTTTCCTGTGAAATAAAATTGTTTGTGATTGTTTAAAATTGATTGAAGAAAATTGAGAGTAATTAATAGGAAATTAAGTGTTAGAAAATAACTTTGAGTTAAAAATTTACTTTAAACTGTTTATTTTGGAAAAGCTCAGCCGGTGAGTTATTCCGAATTGGCTAGTTTCGGATAAATTAACCTTTTTCCTTAATTTTATTTTAATTCCAATCTAACACAATAATAAGTTTTATTTCTTTTAATAAGCGGACAATTTATTAACGATTAACTGGGAATGGAAAAGCGAGCGAACAAAAAAAAAGAACCGATTTGTATTAAGAGGAAAGCGGTATTTATAGCGAAGTGATTAGTAATTGTTTGTGTAAATAATAGGAAAGGAAAATTGTCTTTTCCCAGATGAATATGCTGGGAACGATTAAGAAGATAAAGTTATATAAATTTTACAAAGTTTGAGAAATTAGATTTCGCATTTCCTTTCGAAATGCGACACTCCGGGCCGACTAGATGAAGTGGAATAAAGTTAAATACATTAATGAAATTATACGGAAGAGCGTTGAGAAATAGCGGAACTCGATGAGCAAACGGAAACAGAAGGGGAAGCGGTGGATAAAAATAACTAAACGAATAATATAGCGGATTATAATCGAATTTGATATCCTTCAACGGTATTGGCTTTATCACATTTCTGTCTTCTTTATTCATCGGAATTTTTTGCAATTGGTTTGGGTTCTTCGTGATCCAAATTCTGGGGCAATTTTTTGAGCGGCATGTTGGAATTGTTTCAGTCTGGTTTTCTGAGGATCCGTCGGCATTCAATTGGGGGACGGAAGTGGGTGGTGCGTCACTTAGTGGAATTTCTTTTGAGTGTTGTTGATTAGCAGTAGCAGCGGGGGTTGAAGCGATTTGACCAGGGCAATCAATTTTTGTCGCAGGGGGAGAAGGGCACGATTTGACTGATGGCACATCACCTGGGGGGCCTGGAGATTCATTTTGTATTGTCTGACTTGGCACATCATCTGTGGGAACTGAAATTTCTGATTTTGACCTTTTAATTTTCATGCTTTTTGTTGGTGCTTCTCTGAATTTAATTTTATTATTATTTCTTAATTTTATTTTTTCGGGAATTTTTTTAATTTAAATTGTTAATATTCTTTGTGTAAATAAATATTGGTAAAATATTTGTGTTAGACTTTACTGAGCCTTAGGGGTTTAATTCGGAAGTATATTTTTTCTTTTTTTTAAACTTGTTTGTTTTTTTATATGTATTTTAAAGCTTCTAGAAGGTGTCTGAAAAAACTGAGAAAAAATAGGGGACACAATCTTAACTTTTACTGATAATGGAGAAGTACTTCTCGATAATTTCGATGCATTTATCCAGCAAAAAAAGAAAAGTTTAAAAATAAAATTAAAATTTAAAAAATCAGTAGTATGTAACGAGAAAGTAAGGGAATGAAACGTCCCCTTTTTGTTGGAAATGAAATGTCCGGACTGAATTGTCCAGTTCCAAATTTTTTGTTCGTTTGTTTCGGGTGAATTAGTAAATTTCCTAGTTTACATTATTAATTTGTCACAATTTTAGCGAATTTTTGTTTTATTATAAATAAATGGAACAATGGGAAACCAACAATAATAGAAGTAATTTATTAGTTAATTCTTTTGTTTTTCAAAAATTATTCAATTTATTAAAAATGGAAGAAGTTAAAAATAAAGAAATACAGGAACAAAAACATTGGAGATTGGATATTGGTTTGTTTTGATTTTTTTAGAGAAAAAATACTCAAATTTTTAGGTGAAACTGTTCACGAAGATTTAACTCCAAAAGATTTAAATGTTGGGCTTTTCAAACATTTTATTGCGGGTGGAACTGCTGGGTTCTTTTCTAGAACAACTACAGCACCTTTGGACAGACTAAAAGTTTTTCTACAGGTTTTTAAATTAATTTTAAGTAATTTTTCTTTCTCTTTTTACCTTCTGTAAATTAAATATCGAGAATTCTTTTCATATTATAAATGTCGGTAAAAAAATTTTGGTAATAGTCTGGGCCCGTACAATAAATTCAAGTTTTGGGTTATTTAACCCGCAACCCGGGGTTGTTTAACCGGCCGGTACAATAAAAGAGCTACCCGGGGTTAAATAACCCGCAGCTCTGGGTAAAATGACAACCCTATAGGGGAGCAGGGTAGACGGGTAAAAATCTTAACTTAGAAAAATCTTTAAAAATTGCTGGAGGTATTTAAAAAATAAACATTTCCGCCCCTACACTATTACCAAATTTTTTTTAAGGTTTCTGCTCCTTTTGGACCCAAATATGTATTAAATTATTTTATTTTCAAAAATTTGCAGGTCAATCCAACTTACACTGTTCCTTCAGCACTTCGATATTTACATAAAGAAGGAGGAATTTTATCATTTTGGCGCGGAAATGGTTGTTCTAATTATTAAAAAATTAATTTATTTTTAATTTTTAAAGGTATAAATGTTACAAAAATAGCCCCAGAATCAGCATTTAAATTTATGGCATATGAACAAATGAAAAGAATTGTTAAATGGGAAACTGGGCATTCACAATTAAATATGTTAGAAAGGTTTTTTGCTGGTGGGTGTGCTGGGGCTTTGGCACAAACAATTATTTACCCAATGGAGGTTTTAAAAACACGTTTGGCATTGAGAAAAACTGGAGAAATTGGAAATGGTTTGGGTGGACTTTTTGAATTTGTGAAGAAAATGAAAGTTAATGAAGGAATTCTGTGTTTTTATAAAGTTTGGAATTTTTAAAATTATTTTTTTAAAAAGAGTAATTATGTTGGGGTAAAATAAAGGATTACAGGTAGGGCTGGGCGCAATTGCGGTCTGCGTGGAATTGCGTGTTTTTTTTGACTTGCGGATTGCGGAACTTTTTTTCCATTTGCGCCCAGCCTTGATTACAGGCCTTTAGAAAAGAACAAAATTTTTTTTGATTCCTTTTCTAATCTGTTATAGTTGAAAAAGGGATATTTTATAATCCTCCAAAGGGGAGAAATGTGAACATTTCAGAATAGAAATAATTAGAAAAAAATTAGGATTTAGAAGAGGTGTTTCCCCTCCCCTTCTCTCTGGCTGCCTGCCTGATTTCAATTATATATTTCAGGGTTTTCTTCCAAATCTTATCGGAATTTTCCCCTATGCTGGAATTGATTTGACTGTTTATGAGACAATAAAAAATTGGTGGATATATAGACATCCACAAGTTTCTGAACCTGGTAATTTTTAAAAAATAATTTAAAAAAATAATTTTTTAAAGGTGTTATTGCAGTAATATCATGTGGTATAATAAGCAGTACATGTGGACAAGTATTAACATATCCTTTGGCTTTGGTTCGAACACGTTTACAGGCTTTAAGTATTTTTTTTTGTTTAAATATTTTTAACTAAAATTCTTAAGATTTAATAAATGACCAGCCAACAACAATGAAAGGCCAATTTATTTATATTTACACAAAAGATGGAATAAAAGGTTTATATAGAGGATTTATTCCAAATTTTATGAAAGTGATACCGGCAGTTTCTATTTCATATGTTACTTATGAACAATGTAGAAAAATGTTGGGAGTAAAAATGAGCTAATAAAATTTTACTTTATTTTTCTTTTTTGGAGTACTTTTCCTTTAATTTCTCTCACATCGATGATTGTTACTAACAAGGAAAGGTTGCGAGGTGTCCGACCCAAAAACGGTCGAGACTTTGATCTGGCCATATCTTGGCCACATAAAAAAGGGCAAAAACGTCTCAAAATCCTTGCTAGAAAGGGCACATATCGAATAAGCCAGGTCTTGACCGTTTTTAGGTTGGACACCTCGCAACCTTTCCTTGTAAAACTATGTAACAAAAAATAATTTTGTTGAATCGACATTTTGTTACATTTTTGAATGGAATCTCTCTAGTACGACCTTCAGAATCAGAATCAAATTAAAAGCCGTCGAAGTAGAGAAATTCTATTGTGACTTTGTTAATCAGAAAAGTACTTTAAAAATTGTTGTTTTATTATTGTATCTGTGCTCAAAATTATCCTCATGATTTTAATTGTTTCCTTCATGTATTTACTGTTATTTTACATATATATTTAATTTTTTTGTTAATTTTTATTTAATTTTAAAAAATTAATTCATTTTTGGGAGTTATTGATATTAATTAAAATTTTAAAAGAAATTAAAAAAGATAACTTGGCAAAATATGCATATTGCCTAATTTTTTAGGGCTAAAGAAGTAGTACAAAATTTGAGAGAAGGCCCGGAAGTATAAAGATTTTTTACTATCTTTCATCATGAAAATTTTTCCCCATCTTGCTTCTTCTCGCGACTAAACATTTTTCAAGTTTCACGTCGTATCGACTTTTCACGCCACACTGAAACGGTGATGCTGAAATGGCCTTTTTACCGCATCAGCATGTTTGAGTCTCAATTGTTTTGCAAATTTGAGAAGTTCGGCCAAACGTTCTTTGAGAAGTTTGGACCGAACGTTCGGGTTAAGGCCTAGATGATATACCTATGTGGAAGTTTTCGTACTTGTGAATGTTTTGATTCCCTTAATTTCCCCAAAAGTGTATCTCCCGTCGATGCTTGCCCCAGATTGATTCCCTGAATGTCGGGTGTGTTTAAAACCTTTCGGTAATTGTTAGCCACTATACATACAATGTCTATTTTCAATTAAAAAGTCCAAACTAGCATTACAAATCTAAGATTCATTTAATTTACAGAATTTCTAAATAATTGTCTAAATATTTGAGCAATCTTTATTTTAATTATGTCTGCAAAAGCAGAGGCTATTTTGACTGAAGAAGAACAAGAACTTAAGAGATCGTTTCAACGACTAAGAGAAATTGTTTGTTTATTTTTTTATTTTCTTTTTTTTAATTAAAAATTCAGAAAGAGGCCGTTTTTGCGACAAAATCTGTTCGGACTGGTGAAACGTCAAAAACAAATAAAAATGATGTTTCCAAAGCACAGAGTTTGTCTTATAATTTAAATTAAATAAATTAAGATATCTTTTAGCTTTGCAAGAGGCGGAGGCTCGTGCGGAACAAGCTCGTCGCAAAGCTGCTGAGGGTCAACTTGCCTTCAATCCATCATCAGGAAATAGAACTTCATTTAAAAAACGAAAAAAGGTTTGGAGCATAAATTGTTTAGCAAATGTTTCTTTCAGGACTCGTCAATCGATGGTAGTACTGAAGACAGGGGAAGCGAACAGGTTAATATTTTTTAAATGGAATGACTATTAATGGGGGGGAGAGATTTTTGATAAATAAATTGGTAGAAAAATGCGAGGCAGTTTAGTTTGAAATTTCTAGAGGAATAATTGGGGACCCTATTTAGTGTTAGGAGCAAGTTTTAACGAAAATATTATTAGAATACAAGTGCCGATGCATCTCTTAACCAGTCTATTATTGGCGAACAACCAGCTGCAAGAGATGTAATGGATGGTATCGTTTTCCAAAGTATTACTCTTTTGAATATAAATTTCTAAATATTTATTTATTTTAAGATAGAGTTCCATCAATGCGTGATTTTAAAATACCAAAAAAGAAGCCAAGAACTAGCGAATCAAATGAGGCAGATCCATTTAGTAATAAAGGTATTTTTGAGGGTTAAAATTATTTTTATAAAATTTAATTCTAAAGGCGATGATAATAGTGGATTTTCTAGTGGAGGATTCTCGAGTGGATTTTCAAGTGGTGGAGGAGGTTCTAATCGCAAGCCATCTCTCGATAATGCTTTTGGAGGAAAACCTCAACGATGTAAAGGAATTTTATTTAAAAAATAAATTTTAAATTTAGCTTCGTCTAATCAAAGTATTGAATTAGTTGGGGAATCTGCCAACTCTGCTGATTCTGTTGAATTTGTTGGAGAAACGAGAGAAAATGCTTTTGGGAATTCAGGTAGTTTCTTTTTAAATTTTACTGCTATTTTTTAATTTTAGGTTTTGGGGGCGGTGGTGGTGGCTCTAAAAAGTCTTCCGGTATTTCTTTTTATTTTATGAGAGGAATGAATCTTATCAGAATATTTAAAAATATTAACAGGATTTGGTAGTGGAGGAAATGGTGGATTTTCAAAGAGTAGTAATAGTTGGGGCGGCGGTGGATTCCAAGAAAGCAGTGAACGTAGAAATTCTAATAATGATGAAGGAGGATTTGGAAATGTTGGTTTTGGGAATTCAAGTAATATTTTTTAATATTTTAAAGTTTCGTATTAACCTTTAAAGGTTTTGGTGAAAAAAGTTCTGGCGGTTTTGGCGGGGACAATAATAATAACGATGGAGGAGGCGGAGGAGGATTTTCTAATTCTGCTTTTGGGAATTCAGGTAGTTTCTTTTTAAATTCTACTGCTATTTTTTAATTTTAGGTTTTGGGGGCGGTGGTGGTGGCTCTAAAAAGTCTTCCGGTATTTATTTTCTTAATTTTACGAGAAAATTTGATTTGTTTAGATTTTGGAACTGGTGGATTTGGAAATACTGGTGATAGTAATAATAATGAAGGAGGAGGTGGTGGTGGATTTTCTAATTCTGGATTTGGAAACAGTGGTTTTGGAAATTCTAGTTTTGGAGAAAATTCAGGTTTATTTAAAAAATATTTTAAATTAATTTAAATTTAAAATTCACAGATGATAGGCAACAAAATAATGGCTTTGGAGGTGGTGGAGGAAGAGGTAGAGGAGGAGGTGGTGGTGGAAGAGGTCGTGGCGGTGGTGGAGGTAATAGAGGAGGAGGTGGAAGAGGCGGAGGTATATATTCGAGTTTCTAATTTTTTAAATTTTTATTTTTAAGGGATTTGTAACTTCTTCGCTCGCACCGGAAATTGCAAATATGGAGATACTTGCAAATTTAAACACGAACAAGGCGAAGGTGGTGGAGACTCGTCAAATAATCGTGGATTTGGTGGAGGAGGCGGTGGTCGCGGTAATGATCGTCGTGGTGGTAGAGGAGGAGGAGGTCGAGGTTTTCAACGTAATCATTTGTTTTGATTATATTTTTAATTTACTTTTTATTAATAAAAAGGTGACCGCGGTTCAAGTGAACAAAGTGATGGAGGAAGTGGTGGATTTGGCGGTGGGGGTAATAATAGTGGCGGGTTCCAAAATAAAGGCGGGTTCCAAAGGTATTTTTTAAATTAATTTGAATTAATTTATTTTGATTTTTCAGTGGAGGAAATGGAGGAGGCGGTTTCAGTTCAGGAGGATTTGAGACGGGTGGATTTTCAAATAGGTATCTATCAGTAATTAAATATTTTTTGGGCTCTTTATTCCTATACATATTTCACTTTGTTTACTTAAAAGTATTTAGGCTTTTTCGCGAGGGTAGAAAATATTTATATAACAAAAAATTAATGAAGAGAAAGCTTTTAAATTCTAAAATAAATTTAACTTTCAGCGGGTTTGGAGGAGGTTCAAGTGGTGGATTTGGAAATTCTGGGGGTGGCGGATTTGGTAATAATTCTGGTGGTGGAAATCGTAACGGAAAGGGACGTCGAGAATCAGATGAGGGTGCTGGAGGGGGCGGAGGATTTGGAAATGAAGGTTTTGGGAATGGCGGTTTTTAGCTTAATAAGCTTTGTAAGAATATTGATGAATAAAATAATTTTAAGACTCTCGACACGTTTAAATTTTATGTTGACAACAAAAAAATTCTTGCACCTTTAAATATTGAAAATTGTTTTGACTGTTTTTTTTTGTTTTTTTCATTATATATATGCTAAAATAATGAATTTTATTTTAAATTTAAAAAAGAAAATTTTATTTAAAAATCATTTCCAAATTTCGATTAATTGATTTCTCCTCATTCTTTTCTTAAACAATTGGTGGGCATCCGAGAAGAAAATTTCGAAATAGTCACGGGCTCATTGCTAGGCATTTTATTTTATAAATTTCGTCACAATTTACCCAACCAATAGCTTTCAAATAATTTTTTTTATTTCATTTTTCCTCCCTCAAAAACAGCTCTAGACTGTGTGGTGAAAATAAATCATTTATTACAACATTTATGGTGTTTTGGGTTTTTGTTATGTTGAAAAAACTTTGTTTTTTACATTTTGAAATATTTGGCTTTCCCTGGGACACGCCCGAAAAGGCGCGGGCCGAAAAGGCGCGACCGAAAAGGCGCGACCGAATAGGCGCCGGCCGAATAGGCGCGAGGCCATATAGGCGCCGGCCGAATAGGCGCCAATCTTTTAATTAACACCCCCTTCCACAAGGTCTACGCGGAAAGTTTTTGCCGCTGCGGAGGAAGCCGGGCATGTCGAGCGGAACGACGGCCGCCGCTTCGCTACGGTCGCCGCGAGCGAAGCGAGCACGACCGCAGCGAAGCACAGCCATCGTGTAGCGAAGACCATGCCCGGCCTACCCTCCGTAGCAGACAAAAACAGTTTTTCCAGCGAAGATTCATCTGGTCATAACTTTGTTCATAATCATCCAATCGAGCTGATTTTGGTGTCTTTGAACTCAGCTCGACGAGCCCTTTCGAATGACATATAAATTGTCCAATTTTGATTCTGGTACGGAAACTGTAGTTAGGCCGGTTTTTTAATTTTGGAAAATTTTTTTTGTAAAATTTTTTTTATATTCAGCATGGTCCCAATTGATGTTGGGACCATTCTAATTGATTATAAATCAGAATATTTAATTAAAAAGATTGGCGCCTATTCGGCCGGCGCCTATATGGCCTCGCGCCTATTCGGCCGGCGCCTATTCGGTCGCGCCTTTTCGGTCGCGCCTTTTCGGCCCGCGCCTTTTCGGGCTGTACCCGCTTTCCCTTTGTGAATGAGGAAATTTGGGTAGCGTGCTCCGTCTTTTCTTTTGGGGGGTTTAATGCGACAGCGGGCGGCCGCCGGTCTTTGTGTTTGCATTCTGCTATACACAATATATTTCATAATCTCTGTAAATTTATGTAAATACTTTACATCTATTTTTACTCTATAGCTCATTTTATTGTTTCCTCATCTCTTGATGTCGGGAACTGGATTGATCAATAAATTTTGAAAATTTATAATTTGATTTCGTAAATGTCTGGGAAATTAAAAATTAATGGGAAAATGGAATTGTTGGGTACTTTTAAGGATTATGGACCGAATATGTTTTGCTTGTACTTAATTATTTTTAATTAATTATTATTTATTTTTTAATTTAATAAATTTAATTATAGAAATGAAGCAATAAGTGATTTTACTTTAAAAAACAAATTTACTCGACTATCAATTAGGAAATACAAAAAGGTATTTTTTTGTAAATTAATTTTTTAATTTTAATTATTTTTCAGGACTAACTAGCAAACGAAAATTTAGTAAACTTGAAGCTCGTTCTTCGAATTCGGGCATAAAATGTATTATACTTATAAAAACTTGCCAATGTGTATTTATTCTTTATTTGCATAATTATGTTAAGAGAAACTCGACAGATGTCTTCTTCGACTGTAGACGTTTTCTCTTATTTTCATAAATTTCAACAAAGACATCAAAATTTTATTTGCAATTATTTTTTACCTCATTTTCATTATACCTCAAATAATGCTTCGCCACAATATAGAGGATACGAAGGTTTCTAGCTGTAGTAGGTGTGTTGTTTGTGCGCGGGGCTCCTCGGGAGAAACAAAAATAAAGTCTGGTTAGTTTATTTTTTTATTTGTGATTATGAAATTTCTAAAAATAGTTTTTAGTGGGTGTTAGGCGAATATTTCAAAAAAGTCAAAATTTCGAAAATTTTTCTTTGTCACATGCGTGAAGTAAATATTTCCAAATTTTACTTCAACCATTTATAATTTTCTAACCAAAAGAAAATTTTTAATCTCAACAGTTTTTCAGATGCTTTCCGTCGATTCCACTATTAGCAGCACGCGAGAATCGGTGCAGCATTCATCTGTAGATAATAATAATTTAATTCAAAATAGTGGCAGCTTATCCAATAATTCTCAAGCAAATGAAGCAGTTCCAGTTAACGAAAGCCTTTCAATTCGTAAGAGACGTGCTTGTTTTTCGCTTAAATTCAAAAGGCTAAATTATGCTTCATTTTGTGAAAAAACAACGACTCCGGAGAGTGGAGATGAGAGAGCAGTAAATAATGAAGAAATTGAACGTTTGGTTTCCTCGTCGTCGTCGGCGTATAACAGTGGAAATGAAACGTATTTTTACTTTTTTTCTTATTTTACTCCTCGGGACTTTTTGAATATTAAGCAAGGTTGTATGTCAAATAATATTTTGTGACTTACTGGGATCTCTAGCTACAGGGTGACCCAAAAATAATTGGACACTTTATTATTGCCATAACTTTGTTCAAATTTAAGATAATGAGATAAAATAAAGATGAAATTATAGAGAACTAAATGGAGAATAAAATATAAAAAGCTTTTAGAATTTTTCCTATTCTTCTTTGAGATAAGGTTAAAGGAAAGTGCGAAAAATTATTGCTCCAGGTCGCACCTTTTTTGAGACATTTTTGCTTATAACATTAGAATAGATTGCAGGAATTACATAAAAAATTTTTTGGCATCTAGAGCAGTCCTTTATCTACAGAAATCATAAACCAAAAAATTTTTTAGATTAACACTTAAAGAGATATTCGATTGCGCGTAACCCTCCCAAAATGAGAAAATTGCATTCCCCCCAAAACTGATTTACATCTACTCAGAGCCATCCATGTAGGAGTTTGGATTTTCATCTTTCAGATTTGTCCGGTTCGCTAATGATCTTAATTAAATTCTGTTGAGATCATCCCGTTTGGATTTCTCCTTTCTGAGATACAGAAAATAAAATTTTGGGGGGAAAATTTTGATATGGTGTACCTAAAATTACATAACTATCTTAATCCTGAATCAAAAAATTTTTAATTTTACTATATGATAGAGAATTAATTGAGCTACAAAATAAACGAAAAAATATAAAAAAATATTTACGAGAAAAAAAGTTATGGCAAAATTACTTTTGTCCTAAACTTTTTGGGTCACCCTGTATACCCTTAGATATAGTATTAGTTCGATAATTAACTGATATCCACGTTTTAGAGGTAAACACTTAATTAAAAATTCTAGTTCAAGCGCGGCAGAAAATACGGATGATTCCTCTGGGGAAGAAGAACAACAAATTCATTTAAAACGTTTACGTTTCGATTCAGTAAATAGCCAAAATATTTTTGAAACTATAAATGATGTAAATGAACAACAAAATGAAGAAGAACAGCAACAATCTGTTGAGGAAGAGAAGAAAAATTTACAAAAAGACAATTTACTTGAGGAGCGGGCTTTGAATGTGAATTTTTATTATTTTGAAAATTTTTTAAAGAAAATATTTTTTGAAAATAATTATTGGATTTGGAAGAAAAAATGGAAATTAATAAATAAAAATAAAAGAGAAAAAGTTAAAAGAAAAGGAAAATTATTGTCACCAATTAAAAAGGTCATAATAAAATATTTTAGTTTAAAAGTGAATTTTTATTTAAATAATTAAATATCCTCTTATTATTAGAAACATTAATTATATGATACTTACCAAAACAGTTCTCAAAAACTTGTCAACTTTTCGGGAAAATATATCCCTGACTTGTGGGAAGTGTCTGTCACGAGACCAAGACTACACCCCAAGACCGAAGAAACCTAGAAAATTTTTGAGGCAAGACCAAGAGTTTTGGACAGCTCTAAAGTGTAATATAAGAAAAATGTTCTCATTTTAATTTTTTTAGTCTTCACCACAGACAGATGCACAATTTTCCGATCCTGATTTAATTTTGGAAGATTCAACAACCGGAAAATGTTATGAATTGATTGGATCTGGACGAAATTGCAAAGCTGTAGATTTGTCGACACATGAAATGTGGCATTGCCAAATGTTGAAACAAAATGAATTTAATAATTTAATGGAGATTGTTTCGCGAATGAAAAGTGTTTCGAATTGTTACACTGAAGAAGGGTTTACAGAAAGGAGGTAATTAAATATTTTTGGTTTTCTTTGGAGGGGTCTTATCTCATTGTCAGGATTAAGTGCCGTTATTCTTATACGTGGTGAAATACCATATTTGATAGAAAATTTAAACGACAGACCTCTTGACCAGTCTCGAGACCAGGACTCCATCCAAGATCAAGACAAAAAGTCCCAAGAAGAATAAAAAAATTAATTTTATTTGTTTTTTGTTTGCCCTTCTAATTTTAAATATATTTTTTAGCAATCTTTTGTTACCATTTAACAAACTTCAAACATTAAGAAGCATCAAACACCCTAACATAATTTATGTAAAAATAATTTTAATTTAATCTTTCCAAATTAATTTTTGAAGATTCTTCTTCCAAATCATTATGATAGTTTAAGTAAATTAATTGAAGAAGAATGTGGAGAGGAAGCAGCTTCTTTCCCCTATTGGTGTCGTCCTGTTTGTTTAAGTGAAAGACTTGTACAACAAATCCTCAAACAAATAACTGTTTTGCTTGAATTTTGTCATCGAATTGGTTTATTTTTTCGGGATTTTCGTTTTTGCAAATTTGTCTTCACTGACCAAGCAAAGTTTGTTTGTCTATTTTTAAATTTAATAAATTATAATATTTTAGAACAAAATTGCGGCTGAATAATGTCCTTGATTTGTATATTTCACCGAGCGTTGATTGCGATTTAATAAATTCTCGCGAGTTTATACCTGCTTATATATCACCTGAAGTTCTTGACAAGAAGGTTTTTTTACAATTTTTAAATAAGGAAAGTCTTAATTTTACTTTTTGAAGAATCAGGTTTATGGAGGGCGTGCAGCAGATATTTGGGCATTTGGTGTTATGATGTTTGTGATTTTTATTATTGGGGAGATATTTGTATTATTTATTTAGAAATTGACCCTTTTCTTCGGTATTTGATCGATCTACTAACATCTTTTACTATCCAGTTTTTATTTTTTTCTCAATTTAAGGTTTACTCTTTTAAATGGCCGCTTAAATTTCTATGAACAAAGTAATAATCCGATTGAGTTATTCCGACGTATTCGTTCTCATTGTTTTTCTTCTCGAATGCGGTCATCAGTTTCGGAGCCTGCACGATGGTTAATACATTCTTTATTGAAACCTTGTCCCGATGAGCGGCCATCTGCCGCACAGATTTTGCAGGTTTTTTTGAATATTATTTTTAAATTCTTAATATTTTAGGCCCATTGGTTTCGTAATACTTCAACGATGGGATTGAGTTCTCTTTGGTCATCGTGTTCCTCATATGCTTGTAAACAAATTGAAAAATTACAACAAACAAATAATTGTAAAGTTTTTCCATTACGGGACTGCCCATTTTTGTATTCGACAAGAGTTGTACCAAATGGAACGGAATGGCACAAATGTCGGCGAAAATTAACAGTTAATAAAAATAATAATAAAGTAAAACTAGGGTTTTGATAAAAGTTTCGAATAATTTTAAAACATTTTTAAAGACACATTTATTGAATCCTGTGCGTTCATTCTTTCAAGAACAAAATGAATCTGATGCGGGCCGTTCAGAAGTTATTCACCCTCTTCGATACCAAGCAGGGCTGAATTCGAATGGATCTGCATCGGTGAATATGCCTCCAGTCCGTGGATCTGCTCCAGCTTTTGTATCGGTAATTTAAAAAGTTTTGACTCTTAAATAAATTATAGGAATACTTTGGCCTGTAACTAAATTTAAATAATGAATATTCAGAATATTTTTTTAATTTTAGATTCACCGACGAGAATTACCTTTTATTTCATTGAAAATTGAAAGAGAAAAGGTAAATTTAAAAGATTTTTAAAATTAATAAATTTTTCTTAAGGTAACAGAAGATCAAGTTGTCCCCGATTTCTCGGGTTAGTAGTTTAAGAATTGTTCTTCACTCTTGAAACAAACTTCTTTTTCTCCTCCCTTGCCATGATGGTTTCCCTTTACCTCAAATGTAGGTATTTATAAATATATGAATTTTACTTTACGTTAATTTTAGATTAATGATCGGCCTAATTTACCTACGTTGAATCATTATATACTTAATTGAGGATTTTTATTTACCTTCAATTATCTAAAATTACATCTAGTTTTTACGTGTTTTTTAAAATTTGGACCGATTTCCCCTTTCCTTTTAACCTAAAAATTTTTATATTTCCAATCACAGCATTGGAATTTCCTTTAGAAAAAGGCCGTCTCTCTCCATTATCACCCTCATACATTTTGCTGCCACTCTCCTTATCTCCTCCATCCTTCATCAAGACAAAAATCCGATTTTATATTTTTTGTTCCTGCCGATTGCCCCGCGTTCAACTTCCTTCGGTTTCCAATTTTGCCTCTACAAAAAATGTACACTCGATCTTTTAAAAAAATTTTTTGACTCCAAAACATTGTTCAAAATTATATTAAAATTCTTTAAAAGTTTATTTTATTTTTGTCAAATTAAAATATATTGCTTCTCTAGAAAATAATCAACCAAGTTCAATTTTCTCTTTTGGGATTACCAAAAACTCTAATTTTCTCATTGTTTCGAAAATGATTTTTTTAAAGAATTTAAATTTTCAAGTTTTGGTTACCATTTGGAGAATGTTTCACTGTAGAGTGCAATATATATCCATCCATTCCTTCTATAAACAATCATTTACTATGTACAAAAATTTTGTCCATATTATTTATATCTTTATTTACAGTGCCGGAAAAAAAGATAGGACCAGAGGCTTTTAATTTAGTTTTTATCGATTATCGCTTTTCGATTAACTTTTAGAAAAAAAGTTTCAACACTAAAATTGTAGATCTTTAAATGCTCTTTAAAATGAGTATAAATATCAGGATAATTTACCGACAAAATTTTTTCTAAAAAAATTCAGACGATACTACTCAATTTTTGTGGTGGAAAAAAAGATAGGACCAGACTAGAAATATCGACTTTTGTTCGGTCAAAAATTCTATAAAAATTTCTGTGAACATTTCCATCGATACTGAGTAGAAAATTAAAAAGAACGAAGTCAGTAACTTATTTCGTCATCGAGATCACAAATCTAAAAAATCAACGGGAAATCGGGGTACAGTACTTCAAAAAATATTTTAACCCCTTAGAGCTTAAATTAAAAATTTTATTTTATGCCTATCTGAAAGCTTATAAAATTTGCTACAAGAATATCTCACGTTTAAAATTTCCGTTAAAAAATTCATGGAGATACGGACCGGGAAATTGAGAAAGTTATCTTTTTTGGGGTATTTTGGGAGATTTTGTCACTTTTAATGTAAAGTGGACTAGGGTTAAACGGATATTTTTTTAAAAAGATTAATTTCCAGACTATTTTGTATCAAATTTTATAAGCTTTCAGATAGGCATAAAATAAAATTTTTAATTTAAGCTCTAGGGGGTTAAAATATTTTTTGAAGTACTGTACCCCAATTTTTCGTTGATTTTCGAGTTGTGAGATCTCGATGAAGAAATAAGTTACAGACTTCGTTCTTTTTAATTTTCTACTTAGTATCGATGGAAATGTTCATAAAAATTTTTAAAGAATTTTTGACCGAACAAAAGTCGATATTTCTAGTCTGGTCCTATCTTTTTTTCCACCACAAAAATTGAGTAGTATTTGTTTTTAATGTTTTGTAGTATTAATTGCTAATAAAAAAGGGAATATTTGTACTCATTTGATAGAGGATAAATTAATTAATAGTTTCTGACAATTTTTTTCTCTTAAAAGCCTAAAATTCGAAAGATAATTTGCAGAAAGGAAAATGTGTGCGTCTGGTCCTATCTATATCATATTTTATAAGCTTCACAATGTAAATAAACAATTTGTACTTTTTTTTCTCCCATTTCTTCATTTTATCTGTTTGCCCTTTTATCAAAAAACATATAGCTTCATTTCAAATTTGTCAAAAGTACAGCTCCGCGTATTGTAGCTCGTATAGATTTATTCAATTTATTAGATAAATATGTATTATCCTCTCCAAAATTTATTTACATTTAGCTGCCGACGCACTAAAATCACCGCCCTTATATTTTAATTGATTTGAATAAATTTTTTATGGAATATTTTTGATTGATTTGATAGTATGTTTCTATGTTTACTTGAATTTACTGTTGGAAGATAACTGAAATTTATTGTTAATCCACATAAATTTATTTCGAAATTAGAGAGGATATTTTTTTATTTTTAATAAAAACGGGGATTGAGTAAAGTAAAGCTTTCTTTGCGAAAATAACTGACAGATCATCACCGATGAATATTAAACAAGGGTTCTCCCATTTTTTAATAATGACGAATTCAAAAAAATTAATTTCTTTAGGGGGGTAATGTGTTTAGAACACATTAATATTCTCTAAAACAATTTCTTGAGTTGTAAATTGTTTAATTTATTTCTGTCGTGTGCAAAATTCGATTACAATTCCCCATCTTTAACATTGTGTCCCAAGTAAGATGAAAAGATTAGAAAGAGAGAAAAGAGGAAAAAGTAGAGTATTTTCTTTTATTTTCTCCTTTGAAAAAGAAAAAGAAAAACTATTTTCATCTCATTTATATTTATTGCTTTTTTTGTGTCACGCGAGAACCAGCTGTGTCTAGAGGACTTATTTTTGGGATATGAAGAATTTTTTTTTCATTTTTGATGCTGTTGTTCCTAGAAAATTGCTCTTTATTAGTATATGGATGGGAGGGGGATTTTCCAACAGGAATGTTGCCATTACTTTTAAAATAATTTTGTGTGATTTTATAATTACTTTGGGGAATTTTGATGAAAAAAATATCGAATAAAACTAGAAAAAAAATTGTCCTCATAAGGACAATTTTATGAAATTTTATATTTTTTTGGACATTTTTGGATCGATAAAAAGTAACTGACTTAACTTATTTCACTATTAAAAATCATTAATATTTTTTTTAAATTTAAAAAAGTTTTTTCAGCAATACAGGTTAAAAACCATTTACTTAAATAAAAATTATTGTTGTTTATTATCTCTAAAATATATTTGTATTCCACGTGCGTGGACGTTGAGCGGGAAGAAAAATTACGACCACACGCATAACATCAGCCGAAGAAGCTTCATCAGCAGCAGCTGAGAGCAGCACTGGCATTAGCGGCAATACAAACAGACAATTATTGGTAACTGATCAAATTTCATCATCTACTTCGTCTTCTCAACCAGGGGAAGGTTTCTTTTTGTTTTTTGTTATCATTTTAGAATAATTAAATATTTGTAGGTCTACCTCATTGTTCTTCACCTCCAAGAAAAATCAGGTCTTTATTTGATATATTTTTGAATTTCATTGGTGTTAGCTGAATAACTTGAGTTTTATACATGTTGTAAAATTCAATTTTGGACCCTAATTTCAGAAAGTAAAAACCAAAAATTCTCTGAGATTTTAATTTACATAAGCATCTAATTTTGATAATTAAATTGTTAATAATGTAAATCTTAATTAGAATATATTTGCCAATAAATAGGCGAATGCAAATCGGGTTTGGCGGAATTGGTTACGGCAGTGGTTCAGAAGCCGCTGCAACTTTTGGCTCTTCACTTTCCTCAATTAAATCTGTTGGCCAACGCTTAAAAGACGCCTCTTCTAGAGGAAATAAAGATGTTAGTATTGGAGGAACGGCAGTAGCACTTAATGGGACTTGTGTGACAGCAAAAGGAATTTTGCCACAAAAAGAACAACGAAATTTACGTTTTCCGTTGGTCTTGACCGAATTGCAAAAAAATACTGTCAGAGTTATTGGTCAATATTTACGTGAACTTGGAATGCAGTTTTGTTTTTTTAACTAAAATTTTTAAATAAAATTTGTAGTGATACCGTTGATTCTTTGGTAGAAGAGACTGGTTGTCGTATTGAAAATCCTCTTTCTATGAAATTACGAGTAAATTTTTGGAAAATTTTTTAAATTTAATTTTTATTTTAAAGGAATCTATACAAAATGCACAATGGCAAAAGGCTTTAGAATTAATTGAAAAGATTCGTTTTCATTTAACCGAGAAACAATATTTTGCTGTACGGGTAATTCTTTTGGAAGAGAAGTTCAAGGAATTGGTTGCTCGTGGAGAGGTTATGATTTATAATTTTTATTATTATTTTAAAAAGTTAACTAAAATATAATCATAACTTTTTAAAACGCCCGTTAGTAATTTTAAAATGTTAAACCGAGTGTGTTTACTTCGAAACAGCCACAAATGAATATCCAGACATTTAATCCCTACCTTTAACTTAAATTTTCTAATTAACATAAGAATAAAAAAATATTTTTTAAGAATTTAACTGCCCTTCGTGTACTTCAAATCGAATACCCAAAATGTCAGGAACTTCGTTCTCGACTAGAACTTCTTTCAACACAATTATGTTCTAGTGCAGCTTCACAAATCTTTCAAAGGGAATGTGCTGACAGTGAAACAGTTAGCATTCATATATTAAATGTCCTTAGAAGGTTATTACCTCCAAGCATTATGTTGCCTCCAAATCGCCTTCAAGAACTTTTAAAGCAATGTTTGTATTCGTTAAAAGAAATTTTCTTATAATTTTATAGCCTGGTTATACCAAACAAAACAATGCGATCTACACGTGCTTTCGCGAGAACAAAATGTTCTCGATGATAGAGCGATTCTAGTCGATCACCAATGCTCTAGCCGAGAATTTCCTTCAAAAAATACTTGTGTAAGTTAAAGTATATATTTATTAGACGTAGGATAATTCTAAGGGTTTGGGTTACTCGTTCTGCTTTTGGATCTAATACTTGTTATTATATATTTTTTATTTGTTCTCATAAAGTTAAAATATTTTTTTAAATTATAGACTCTTTATATGCACAATGCAGAAGTCTGGTGTGTTAAATTCTCCCCTTGTGGTCATTTTATCGCTTCTGGTGCTAAAGGAAATCAAGTTTTGGTTTGGAAAGTAGAAAGTCCAACCAAAGTTAATGTATTCCAAAGTATGCAAATTTTACAGGTTTTGAAATATTTTTTGAATAAAATTTTTATTTTCAAACAGGATGTCCATGCAATTGGGAGTATTTCTTGGAGTTATGATAGTCGATATCTTGCCGTTTGTGCAGCAGAACAGCCAAACGTGACTGGCTGTTTTATTGTAAATTTTTGAAAATTAATTTTTTGAACTTATTTCTTTTTAAGTATTATGTGCCTAGTGGTCGTTTAGTTAAAGAATATACTCGTTTTACTGGAGATTCTTTTGCTTCTGTTTCATTTTTTAAAGACAAAAGCCACAAATTGGCATGTGCTGGCCAGAAAGGACATTTCCATGTTTATGTGAGTTTTTAGGGGGTGTCAACTAAAATTTAAAAGTGCTAGAGGTATCGAGATCCTAGTTTAGTTTTGGATGCTGATGATCTCAATATAACCCTGCTAGTTTTCAAAAACTATCTTTTCGAATTCAAGAAATCATTTTAAACTGTTTGGGCATCATTTAACAATTTTAATTCTTACTGATAGTTTATTAAAATCTCATTAGGACATTCATCGGCCTGAAGACAATGCAAAAATGTTTGAAGGCTTTCGAATTCGATGCCTTTATGCTTGTAGTGATGGAAAAACAGTTTTGGCTGCAGATACTCACAACAGGCTATTTTACTTTAAAAATTAAAATAATTATTGAGAGAGAGAGGGGGAGGGAGGGAAGGGTTGGGGGGTTTTAGATGTCATGGGCGTAAAATTTTTTTTCAATTTGATTGTGGTGTTATCAAATTTCAAATTTAGAATTCGAAAATATGATTTCGAAACTCAAAGAGAGCACACAATAATACAAGAATCTTCACAAATAATGCATTTTACTGTTGGACGTAATGAAAGTTGTTGCCTTATTACAACAAAAACGGAGGGGATTCGCCTTTGGTGCTTAAAGACGAATACACTTATCCGAACGTTTTTTGGAGCGAATCATAATGATTATGTAAGTAAAAATAAAATTAATTTTTTTTAAATTGGAGAATTATTTTCAGATAATAACAAGTACATTTGGTGGTCCCGACGACTCATTTTGTGCTTCTGGATCTGAAGGTATAAAATTTTTAAATTAATTTTTATTTTTATAATATTATTTAGACAACACTGTCACAATTTGGAATTTACGTCGTTCAAATCCTGTATGGAAATTGCATGGACATTTAGGTAAGACAATGTTTGGAAATATTTAAAGAAATTTATTTTTTAATTGCAGGCACAGTTAATTCAGTTAGTTGGAATCCTGCAGATTCGCAAATGTTGGCTTCCGGCAGTGATGATGGTTGTTGATTTTTGTTAATTTTTTTGATGATTTAATCTTAATTTGGAAGGATTTTTTAAACATTTTAGTCTTTTTTAAAACATTTCCTTTTTAAGGAACTATAAGAATCTGGTCAACAGCTATAGCCAAATGATTTAAAAATAAGTGCATGTTTAAAGACTTGAATCAACTTAAAAATGATTAAAAACAGATTTACATATACCCCCGTCTATATATACAAACATTCATTTTTCATATTAAATTTTGGAAAGAAAAATTTTAATTTTTAAAATGAGGTACATATCAGGGATGTCACGGGTCGACGATTGCGGGTTTGCGGGTTGCGATTTTTCACATTTTCTTATATATGGAATTAATTTGAAAAAGTGTATATGGAGTAGGTTAAAAAGAATCCTGAGACTTTATTTTTGGTCCAATTTTCAAATAATTCTCTATTTGTATAGCTTTATGGTTGACAGACAAACTGCCAAGAATTGGTCAAAAAATTTTAACTTCTGTTCAAAAAGCACGCAAAAAAATTATAAAAATTTGACAAAAATTACTCCGTATACACTTTTTCAATTAATTTCAGATATAAGAAAATGGGCAAAATTACAAACCCGCAAACCCGCAATTTCGACCCGTGACATCCCTGGTACATATATTATGAGGTTAGATATGTATATTTTATTTTTCGAGTTTATTAACTACATTCCTAGTTGATTTATAATACCCCCGTCTATACTATATATGCTATTTCGACTTGATTTTTCGCTGTTCAAGGCATTTAGAAATATACATAGAAAAAAAGGTAAAAATTGTTTTTCAATTTAAAATTTAATTGTGTTGTATCATTTTTTATAAACACAATTTATTAACAATATCATAAAAATAGATGGGAATATTCCTAAAAAAGCAAAATTAAATCTTTATGACTTTTCTGGCTGTTGTATTTTGTATCCACCAAATGGGCTTGCACTCAGAATTGTTGGCTTTAATTCCGACGTATTTTGGTATTTCGACTTGATTTTTTGAACCTTGAAAAAAATCTTAAAAAGAACAAATCGCTTTGGCGTTATCAATTATTTCCCTACATGGTTTCATGATTATGTGAATGAGATTATTAAAATGACATCAAAATCTTGGGATTGGATAAGTTTTGACAAAGTTATGACATAGAAATAGTACTTGTGCTGCTTTTTTAAAACTAATTCTCTTAACTACTAAAAGGTTGGTTTCAAGAGTTTGAGTCAAAACTCTTGAAGCAATAGATTAGGTATATATGTATCGCAAAATGTACTGTTCATTAATTACTAATCATCCTTTGTTATTACTAAAGAGAGATAGATGAAATTGATATTGCAAAGAGATCCTACAAATAGTTTGGTCGATGTGTAGGAAAGGAATCATGGTTTAGGTTTTTGATAGTAAGACTGGTTTATAGAGTAAAGTGATTATCATTAGCCGTGAGATAAGTACTATATAAAGACGAGCAATTCAATGACTCCAACAGACTCCATCAATTCAACAACCACTAATCTGGGCGCGTTCTTCAACTCTACTCGGACCTTCAACTATACCTTTGCGGGCTCGTATGTCACAAAAAAGTGAGTTTGCTTTAATTATTGTTTTTCTCATTAACAACCTGCTTATTGTTTTAAGGTCAGAGGTACATCCAGGAGGAAACCATGCAAGTTCTGGTGCCCGATGCAAAACCTGGCGTCACTTTTTATGCTGTAAACCCGCCGCGTGTTGAACGTCTCCGGTACGACTCCTGCTTCCTTGGACATTTGATGCCTGGTGATGTCGTTTTGAGCGTCGACGGACAAGTATGGACAGATTTTAAGCTTTAGGCTTAATTAACGCATCTCTAATTTCAGGCAATCAACTCTGGTGACGAGTTCAATGCGCGCTGCTCAGAAGGACGGCTGCCTAGAAGTGTCAACGTTCAGTTCCGACGCGACATCTTCTACAAGATGAAGGTCATTAAAAGGACAGCAAAAGGCGAACAGCAAGAGGCCTTCTACGTACAAGCTCGCTGGAGGGCGGATTTGCCTCTTGGGCTGGTCATCGAGAACAGGGTAAGACAAATTTTTTAGGTTTTTTTTGGGAAATTTGTTTTGATTTTTAGAATGGTACCATTGTCGTGACGCAAGTTCAGCCGGGCAGCATTGCAAATCAGTTTTTTCAGTATGGGGACGTCTTAGAGAAAGGTAAAAGATAACTCAAAATTAACCGGAAATAAATTTATTTTGTTTCAGTAGGGGGCAAAGTCGTTTCAAACAACGACGAAGCAAAAAGGCTCATCCGGGAGGCAATCGAACAAAGGACATTGGTCGTGCTGAAGATCATCCGCAATGTGAAGAGGAAGAGTCAGAATGAATTACCGCTCGATGTACGCTTTTTAATGAAAAAGCACAAGGGATTTTGGAATCGAAATCACAAATTGCAACCCTGTGAAGATAAGCAAACTGAGGACGGGGGTGGAACGTCATCTGACACGAGACCAAATGGTTCGTTGCGTCATCCGTCTTTGAATAACGAAAATTTTTCCCCATTTTTAGTCTACCACGTGGAGGAAGTTGTGGTGGAACCAATGGCTTTGGACGAATTTGGCCGCCCATTAACAGCGACACCTGCACGTGCTGGCGGAACGAAGGGCGACACCGATGCTGGAACATCATCTACTACAACAGGAGGAGGATAATCGATGTTGCGAAGAAGACAGATTGAGATATTTCCATACTTGATATTTTGTTCCTTCGATTCTTTTGTTGTGTTTGTATGTACTTATTTCCTTTTTTTTCCATTTGCATTGCCTTTTTTGTTTGTTTATATGGTGTTGTAAAATAAAATTTATATGTAAATGTTTGCATTTTTTATTAAGCTTAAAGCATAGATAGGTTTATCAACCTTTGAGATTTTTTTGAATCCTTTCAAAAATTTAAAGTTTTACATTTTGGTTGTCATTCCATTTTTGTTGCTTCCTCCTCCTTGTTGTCTCAACTTTGTCCAACTTTGATTTTATTTTAGTTAAAGGATTTCTTTTCCGATGTCCAATATGAATATGTTGTTGTGATTGCTGTGTTTGTGTTGTTGAATGATTATTGTTTGGAATATCTTTTAAATCAATTTCATATTCAGAAAATTCTAAAAAAAAAATAAATTTTCTATTTTTAAAATTTAGAAGGAAAACCTTTAAGTATTTCCCTTTCTTTTTCATCATTTATTCTCTTTAATTCTTTTATTTTCTCCCTAATATCTTCATTTTTTGTTTTAATTTTATTATTAGATAATATTATTTTTTGATTATTTATTTGTGAAAAACAATCAAATTTTCGAATTTCTGCGATATATAAAACTCTGAAATTTAATTTATTTTTTAATAATAGGGGGAGGGGGGGGGGGTTTACTTGAATTGCTTATAATTAGAGTTGAGCGGTATCCTGATACCGATTTTTTGATACCGATACCGAAAGACAGATCCCGATACCGGTACCGACGGTTATCAATACCGAGCCGGTATAGGGATTGGTATCATCATTCCAAAATACCGATACCGATTTTTTCACGGATTACCGATACCGCTCAACTCTACTTATAATTTAACAAAAAATAAATTTACCCTTTTTTATCAAAAATTCTCCAAATATTAGAAATATATTCAAAACCAATTTGTTGTCCATTTCTATTAAAAACTTCACCTCCCAAAATCATTTGACCAGCCCTTATTTGTGGATTACCCGACAAAACAGAATTATTTAATTTATTGTTAGAACAACAAATTAATTTAATTCTGAAAAAATTTAAATTATTTTTAAAGAAAAATTTAAAAAAAATTCGAACGGATAATTTGGTGTAATAATTGCAGATGGAGCTATTCCACCTACCCAAGTTCCTTTACTACAATGATTTCGAGTAAATGATTTGTCACATTTCTATAAATTTTTTAAAAATTAAGAAATGATTTTATACAAAAATTTTTAATTTTACCAAAGCTAAATAAAAATTAGATTAAATTTAAAATCCAAAAAATATCTTTGGGTTTTAATTAAAATAATTAAAAAATCTTTTAAGAAGGCGCTTTCTTTGGAGGCTCTTTCTCTTTCCTTTAGTCATATTCAGGAACTACAATTAACCAGCTACAATCTGCCGTTAGGAGTCGAACCCGAGTTCCCCATTTTAGTTCATTAATCCATGATATTTATTATCTAATACTTTTTGTTAATTTTTTTTGTAAATTAACTAGTAAAATTTTAATAATAATTGATTTTGCTAGACAATTTTAAATTAAAAAATAAATTACCGAAATTTCATTAAAAGAAGTTTTTTTAACTTCATTAATTGAAGAAACTGATTTAATAAATCCATCTGGGTGTCCCCAAATTTTAAAAAACTGTGCTGGATTGGAATCTAATTTTTGTTTATTTGAAGACAATCCAAAACAAGAAGGCCTTGCACAGCCCAAAATTGGCTGGGAATTTTCTTTAATCTTTTAATTTAAAGAGAGAAAATATTTTAAAAAATAAAAATTACTTCAAGACTAAAAGGAATAGCTGATTGACCACAATAAGATGCTTGATTTATTGAAGGAGTAAAAATTAGAAAAAGAAAAAATGATAAAAATAATTTTTTAATGAACATACTAAATAATTTATATTTAATATTAAATGACTTGAAAAAAAATTTTAAAGGAAATATACACTGAAAATATTTAATTACAATTTTGTAATTAAATTCCGATTAAATAACTACCCAATTCATTACTGTAACAAATTAAACTTCAAGGATGTTATTATTTTTTAAATGCTTTTAAAATAAAAATTAAATAAAAATGAGAATAATTAACAACAACAAACACGTGTTTCTTTAATTAGCTTGTTTTCTTCTTGTTCTCTTTCATGCTGTTTAATATTTAAAAATCTAGTTTTAAATAGATGCCCTATATTTATTTAATCTTGATTTGTAGTTTAAAAGTTTATTGAGATAAATAAATAAAAACTAGATTTATTAAATTAAATTAAAATTATTTTAAAGAATAATTAAGGAATTTTTGTTTTTTAATTAGCTATAACAATTAGACAGGGGGTGAGGGGACACATCTAAGAATTTAAAGAATATCAAAGAATTTGTTTACATATATTTTATTTATTAAATTTAAAATATAATTTTTATTAATCAAAAAAAGATTTAAAAATTTTTTGTCAAAAAATCAAAATCTTTGACGGCATTTTCTTCTTTTTCTTTTTATGTGATTGTTGAGTAATTAAAGTAATTTACTTAACTAAAATATTTACAAACAAACAAAAAATTATTTATTTAATACGCATGAATATTTGGCTTTTTTCTAATCTTATTACATAATTAAATAGGAGAATTTTTGTTTTTTGAAGAAATTTGCCGCTTCTTTGTTATCTAAAATAGTCAAGAAAATTTTGAAGATAAAAGCAAATAAATCTAAAAAAAATATTTTTAAATAAATTGTTGAATGTATTTTTGTTGGTGGGTATTTAAAAAAAATAATACCTGACTGATAAAGTCTTTGGGAGGACAATTCCCTACAACAACAATTCACTGAAAGGCAAAATACCGTATATGCTCTATTAATTACCCTCTAAAATAATTACCCCCACTATATTAATTACTTCCTCCAGCGAGTGGTCGAAACGATAAATACCCAGGGTAATTATCAGAGCATATACGGTAATTCCAAAATTCATAGATATTTTATTTAAAATTTTTTAAATTTTTTTAAAATAATCTATGTATTTTCCCCTCAATTCCAATTTTCTTTTACAAAATTCTCTAATTTTCCCAATTTATTTGAAAATCACACGCGCAAGTAATTTATATATAAACTCTCAAAATCTCAGCGCCGTGCCTTTCGGTATTTTTTTCTTTTTGAGGTAAAAATAAAAAGAAAAACCGCAAAATAAAATTAAAACGGCTGGTTTATTAGACGGCTTTTTCAATCAAAAATTTTTTTCCTTCTTCTCTTCAAACAACTTTCTATGAATGCAACAAATTGTGACAGTTATAGGAATAAAATAAAAATAGTTTTGAAAAAAGGAGGGAAAAATTATTTTTATATTTAAATTAAAAATAAAAAAAACTCCCGCAGTTTTAGAAAAATTTTTTTAAAAATATTATGGGAGTAGGCCAATGTACCGCGAGCCCAACCTACCGCAGAGCTATAACTTTGTTAAAAATAGTCGAATCCGGGAGTCTTGGTATGTTTCGATGCATCTCGACGAGCTAAATCGAACCATATCAGGGCGTCCCGGATTTAAGCATTTTGAACGAGGTTATAGCTCTGTTGGCCTCGCGGTACATTGGGGTGTACTAACGGTACCGAACAATTTTTAAAAAATCGGTATTTTTTCGGTATCGGTATTTTACCGAAAATACCGATACCGATACCGAAAAATCGCGTTTGAATAACACTAGGAATAACACCCTTTTTAAAAAATATTATATGTATGTATAGACTTTATTCTTTCATGTTGATAACTTCTCTATTTCATAAAAAATTAAAAAAATAATTTTGTGAATAAATTGATTTTGAAAATTTAAAAATATAAAGAGGAATGTGTTTTTTAAAAAAATTCTGTAGATCCATTTACAAAAAAATTAAAGATTAGTTTCCCAATTTTTAAAATTAATTTTAGTCAATTTAATTCAAATTTATTTAAAATTAATTATTCTCCATTGTTTTTCTTTGTCAATCAAATTAATAAAAAATGGCACGCTTTAAATAAAAAGAAAACATTTTTTGGTTGTTTTTCTGAAAATAAAAAAAGTACGTCAAGGTCAAAATCAAAAAAGATTTTTTTGGGTAAATATTTTTTTGTTTGCTTTAGTGTACATTTATTTTAACTAAATACAGTTAAAAAAGTGCCATCTTATTTTTCATTGTTTTTCTTTGTTTGTTCATTTTTTGTTTTAACTTTTTTTCCAAAAAATTGAAAAAGTAAAAATAAAAAAAGTTTTTTTTGGTATCTTCTCAATTTTTAAAAATAAATTTCAAAAAAATATACATTTTTGGAAATTAATTTTAAATTTAAAATTTTATTTTTGATGAATAAATTAGTGTTCGGACGGTACCGTACTACGACGGTATTTATCGGTATTCCGTGCCGTAGTACGGTATTATTTTATTAATTTATTAATTCCGATCACTAGAATAAATACCCAAAAAGTTTGTTTAGTTAAAAATAAAAAAAAACTAATTTTTAATTAAAAATTATTTTAAAATAATTATTTCAAATTTTCATTCCAAATTTAAGTATAAACTGTAAATATATGTATTTATTTATTTACTAATTAATTTATTCTATACAGGTAATTGAACATTACGCAATATATTTATTTTTATTTGTTTGCTAAAAATACAAAACAAAAAAAGTTTAGAGGAAATTGGGGTTATTGAAAGGGGGTTATACTAAAAATATTTTTTGGCAAATTTTTTGGCTTAAATATTTTACAAAAATTTTTGTTAAATTTAAAACAGAACAATTAAACTAATGTAAAAAAAGAAAAATATTTTCTAATCGAATTTTAAGTTTATTAATAGGGTGGGACAAAACCGTTTAACTAAACGGTAAACGGGTTTTCTGGTAAAATTAAACGGAACGGTATACGGGTCTCATATAAATGGTATACGGGTTTTTCAAAATTAAACGGTTTTATCCCATCCTAGTTGTTAATTTAATAATAACAAGTATATTAACAAAGAATATTAAATTTAATTGGATTTATTTTAATTAAAAAGTAAATAAAGTAAAAGGAGTATTGGAAGTTGTTAAAAATTGTTGTTGTGAATGTTGTTGTTGTTGAATTAATTGAAATTGTTGTTGTTGTTCTTGTATTAAATAATTATTTTGTTGTTGTTTTCTCCAAAATTGTTGCTGTTGTTGTTGATTTAATGGGGAAGTTGTTGTTGTTGTTATTAAGGAATTTGTTGTCCCCAAACCAGAATCATCATCTTCGTCCGTATCTTCATCATCCACTTCCCCAACACTCTTCTCTTGTTGAAAAGAATAAAGGGAGGTTGAAGGCATTAATTTGCCGTGGACTGCCTAAAATATATTTTTAAAAATTTGATTTCCTTTTTAATTTTAAAATTGTCTAATTAATGTTTTCCTCAATAAAATAATTCTTAAAAGCACACATGAAGGGAATTCTTAAATAATAAGTAGAGTTTTGAAGTTTCTATTCAAATAAATTTCAAATTCTTCTATAAATTTCCAAATAAAATTTTTTAACTCTAAATTTTTTAGAAAGCAATTTTCTCTCTCTCTTTTCCCTCTTATCAAAAATAAGCAGAAAATAAGTGAATAAAAAATGAGAAGTTGGTACAAATTAATTTGCCGATTTAAGTGTTATCTTCTTCTCCCTCTCTCTCTCTTTACCTCAATATATTCAAGTATGACAGGCTGAAATTGAGTATGTAATATATACAAAAATCTGAGTAAATCTAAAGAAGGATTAAGGAACAAATCAACAAGCAGAAAAATATCTCTAGAAAAAAAAATTAAAAGAAAAGCAGATGGAATCGAAAAGCAAGGCGGAATATACCGAGGTCAATTGAGAGAAGGAAGGAAGAAGAGGAAAAATATATTTATTTTATTGAGTAAATACTTAAAAAGTGAGAAAATAATGTTGCGCAACACGATCTCTAAAGCAAGGCCACTCATTCAAATTATTTTTTAAAAGAAGAGATTGAAAATTCTTTAAAGTTTCTAATTTCCAAATAAAAAAGTTTTAAAAATATTTTTTAAATTAATATTTTTTAATTTTGCAAGAATACTTAGTGATTTAAGTTTTAGTAAAAGTGTCCGCTTTTAAATAAAAACTTATTTTTAAACTTGTCATTGAGTTTTCTTTTAATAGTGTTTCTCAGATGAAATTGTTATTTATATTCGAATTTCAATTTATTTTTAAAAGCTTTAACTGACTTTATTTATTTAATCCCCCTTTCCTCTCCTTTAATTTATTTAAATATTTAAATACCCTCAAATGTTTTCGCAAACTAGAAGGATGTGTATATTTCTTGTCACAACCATCTTGATCACACCTATAAGGCTTTCTTTGTTGGTGTACATGTTGATGCTTTTTGCGATCAGAGCTATTTGCAAACACTTTGGGGCAGTCTGGATGTTTACAGGGAAATGGCTTTTCTCCTAAAAAAAGTAAAAATAAATCTTTTAATTTTAAATTTTTCTTTTAATAATTTATTCCAAAAAAATTTTAAAAAATATTTCTTTTAAGGAAAGGACAGATGCACAACTATTTAAATAACTGTATATATTCTTTCCTTTCTTTTTTTTAAATAAAAATAACCGCAAGTAAAAACCCCAATTTAATATAAAATTCCTTTAATTTTTTAATTTTAAAAGAGACAGATTTTCTGTAACATTTCTTTCAATTAAATTTAAAAACAAAAAAAAGAAATAAATTCCTTTTTTTAATTTAAATGCGCGCGCCTACAATAAAAATAAAAGAAATAACCAATTAGAAGAAAATATAAATTTAAATTTATGTGAATAACCTAATAAATTTAACAACTTTTTTATGATTCTTTTAAAGTAATTTTTAAATTTTTTGAAATTTCTAGAAAAAATAAAAGAGAAGAATTTAAAGGA